TTAGCATACGCGCGGTTCTGAGCTAGTCGCCGTCTGTGTCTGAGCAGGAACTTGGGACGAGGGCGCGGAGGGAGCTGGGGCAGCAGTAAGGCTTCCGCTAGAAACAGACAGAAGAATACTATAGAAATTTAGGTATGCGTCAGGTAACTGCTGCTGAAACAGATAAATGGAACTTCTCGTTCACATGCACATTAGTATCATTATTTTACAAAATTCCATAAATGGTATCAATGATTTTGACTCACTGATATACCAAACCGATTTGAGATGTGATAATGTTATATACTAATGTAGTAATAATGTTATATACTTATGAAACGTTTAATCAAAATCCTCTCAGAAATTATGTCACTGGAGCGATATATCAATATGTTGACGATTTTCTATTAATAGTAACATTGATCTTGAAATGATACAATTAAATCGGTTGCTAACTTTCTATAGTTACAGTTATTTTAACCTCATCTGAGGTTTTGTCAAAGTTGACCTCGGTATACCGTTTGATCAAATCACTATGGTAATTAAGTTATCTTTGGAACCGTGAAACGTGAATTCATGCGGGGTATTGCCATACTGGACTATGTATATAGTTCGACTAAAAATTCTTAAAGAAATGAACCAGAGAGAAGACATTGATTCTGGAAAAAACTACAAATACACCCTCCATGAAATGTCGGGGACAATATCAACCTTGACCTTTGACCCCTGTAAAGGTTGCAATATGAATTCAGTCGAGGTAGTGCCGTAGCTGACTTTTGTGTAAAGCTTTATCAAAATCTCTTGAGAAAGGATGCCACTGACACGATGCTGCTAAATCTGAGTTGATGACTTTCTTTAGATAGTAAAAGTGACCCTGACCTTGGAGTAATGCCTCTGAATAAGTTAACCTTGGAACATTGACACACAAACACATCTGATGTATAATTATCTTGCTGAAATAAATATTTACATAAATGCCCCCGTATGCAACTAATTAATCTTGATGATAGGTATATTCATATAGCTTGTCAGGCTGTGTTAGAAATTAGTTAACACGAGCTGGTGACAAAGGAATACAACAGCATATCGAATTTCAGCTCAATGTCCCCACCAAGCACTTTTGTACAGTTGTTTACTAATTCTCGTTTTCATATAGGTGCCGTATTACTTTCTATTTCGTCCAGCATGTGAACTGGAGAAGGTTCTGGCAGTCTGTCTTGATCATCTTCTGAAACGAATATAAAATAAATATCAACTCGTGTTTCCTTTGTTTAAAATGTGTCTTTTCTATATGATGGTAAGACAAAACCATCTCATTCTTTCTAACGACTAATGAAAGTAATACCTCCAACACGTCTATTGGTTAGGTGTAGAATACTGACATAACATTAGACATAGAAGGAAAGTGTTTGAGGAAATATTCCAAAATATCCATTGTTTACACTGAATACCAAATTTAGACATGCTTGTAGCGTAAAAAAAAACTTGGTACATAGTCTCATTATATTCGAACTCTAAGGCTGCCGATCTTGGTTAAATTATGCTGGTTGGTACTAGTTATTTCCTATAGAGTGGCAAATAACACGAAAGTACCGCAGGGAAGGAGCAGCAAAACGACGGTGAAGGAACGAGGTTAAGTGTTTGGCGGTTACGTGTTCGAATCCCATTACTGTGCAGTTACAATGTCTGTACAGATTGTAGACACTTGTTACAATACGTATGCACTCGATACAATTAGGAAAACATAGCGAGTGAGTCTTACCTGTGATATTCTTAAACAGCTTGGACATCTCGTGGAACACCATGGTGACAAATGTCAATCCGAACATGTCGCCTTAAAAAGTGGATTTTTATACTAGCATTTAAATATATCAATATACATGTATATAAGATGGACTTGTATTTCAAAGACGGGAGTTGCTCTGAAAACCTGGACATGGTACTTTCAGTGGATTCATTGTTTTTCTTTAATTTTAGAGCTTTTGTTATCATCAAAGTTCAGTTCAAGAATTCTGCGTTCCATATAGAAATCATTGTTAAGAGAAGATACTGGTGGTAGGCACAATATTGTATGTAGTTCTTTGTCGAGAATAATTGAACTTCGGTCACTGGGTACCAGAATGTCCTTATCATTGTTTATTGATTTAGAGGAGGTCAGTCTATCATAGGATAAGAAATAGAATATTTCACCTGTGTGTGATTTGGACAGAGATATCTCAATCCAAGGGTAAAAAGTTAGAAAGCTTATCTCGAGGGATGAAATTGCTAGATTTAAATGCGGTAGATACATACCTTCTGTGTCATGGGTAACTGTACATCAGACTACTAAGCTCGGTTCCATATCTAAGGATGATAATACAAGCATCGTCACAATCGCTATTACGTCATAAAGGTCATCTGTTATACGCTAGCAGGACACGTGGGAATGACGTCAGAATATGTTAACCGCTTGTTAAAGAGACAGATCGAAGGCTGGTAATAACTGGACAATGATTTAATGTCTTTATCTGAAGTGAGAGTTTTGAGACGAGCATCCAAATTCCTCCATCTCTCCATTACATACATTCTACGAAACAGGTTTTTTTATCCTTTAGTGTCCATGATACTATGCTGTATCTACGTCTGGATGTTCCTATAACGACTTCTAAGTCATGCTGTTTTACTATGGATTTCGGTCTATCTTATTCCATGATTGAACGAATCCTTTCTGAATTCCCTACTCAATTATACACGGCCAGACCGAGTTTCGACCACGGGACCCTTCAAACTCTACGCTTTACTAATTCATCTACCTGGTCGCCAACAATCGACTTAGTCCAGTTTCGCTACATCTGATTGTTCAAATCAGTCTCCATATATTCAACAGTTTCCCTCAAGGTCGAAGATACAGACAAACCCTCTCCTCCTTATCTCTGCATCCCACGATATCCTATCACTTCATACTATTTCATTACTACTCTTTTCTCTTCCGTTGAAAGACCGAAAGTAAAACCCTTAAAATAAATAAGTAAATAAATGATACATAAATGCCAAAACATTGGACCTCTTTATTCTCTAAAGACACTTTCTACTGATAATATTTGCGCGTTGTGAAATAATAACGATATTCGATTTTTTATTTTATAAAATGGGGTACTTAAAAGACACCTTTGGAACTAGAGGAGTTAAGATGCGAGTAGATTAGACAATCGTTTAATCAATTCAGTCATAGATGAATCGATCAGGCGACTGTTGGGTTACTTAGATTTCGTGAGTAGGTTGAAGAATTGTCGAGTTGGATCAGAGATGAGATGGTTAGAACATTGCTGAGATTCTAGAGATGGGTAGGTTGGGACATTTAGTTGGCTCAGATGTGTGTCGATTAAGCGACAGTTGAATTAATTCAGGGGTGAGTAGGTTAGGGAATTGATGAGTAAAATAAGAAGTGTGTAAATTAGGCCATTGTTAGTTTAGATCAGAAATGAGTCGGTCAAGCGACTGTTGAGCAAGTCCAGAGGTTAGTCGGTGAGGCAGTTGCTGTATTACACCAGATCCAGTGTGTAGGTTGGGGAATTGTCGAATTAGATCAGTAGTAAGTTGATTAGAACATTGTTGAGGTAGTTTAATCAATATTTACTAAAAAAAAACTTGACAACAATACACACGCATACATGTGATTTACACTCGGAAAGGCAACACAAGCTTAAGGCCGATAGTAAATCCTGTTGAGATAGTTCAGATGTGAGTCGGTTAGGGAATAGTGAAGCATTTTCGTCTGGTATTTAAGTGTGTTAGGGAGAACAGAAATCACATTTGTATTTATAGTGACGTTTTTATGACTGTGTACTGTCAGACTAATCGAATGACCATGGCTAGTGTGAAGCGGATCTTTCGATGTAAACGGTATACGAGACTAGTGAATGGACAATACTTTTCGGCTTTATTATATAATCCTATTTAATAGCATTAGTTACACGTTCGTATGTATAAGAGTATTTTGATGCCACTTCCCCTAGATCTGGAGTTATTAACACTATAATATTACAAATGTATATTTTCGGGATTCCCAAATTTGTTCTTTTAAGAGTTCATGGAAATTCCTTGTTTTCCTTGTTCTCATAAGGAAATGTGACGTTTCCTTTTTGGAATGACCGACATTTACATGTCAGGTTTCGTCGATGAAGTAGAAGACGCTTACCCTTTCGGAACACTTGGTCTTCTCCTAAAACTTGTTTACAAGAGTATCTGTGTTAATCTCTCTTTGTTCACATTTTGACATAGATTAATCGATTTTGTTTTGTCGAATTAAGATTTTGTGAAGTTATATAGAATAAAGAATATTTGTTTCCTGTGTATCGACCCATCCCTTTTTTCTGTCGACTCTATTGATCATATTTGTTTATTTTTGTTTTCCTTTTTCGATTCGAAAGTAGAAATTTGAGTAAATTTTGGATTGTTGTTTAATAACAATCGCTTTGTCTGTCCATCCCTCTTTTAGGAGCATTTCTTCATACACCGTCTTATGGAATTTCATGACACTCGGCACTCGAAAGTACATATTGTAGCGTTTTCAACTATCGAACTTAGATGTTCTGACACAGATTGTGATATTAAGCATGAGTAAACCTCTTATAATAAATACATTCGACATTTTACCAACCATTCCCTAATCAATATGTCCATAGGTAGTTTGGAACAGTTAACAGTTTTAAGGCCAACCAAACAACATTATTTGAAAAAAATTCAGGCAGAAACTACAGGAAATATTTTCCTTGTATATTATTTGTTGTTTCTGTTGAGAAGTAATTACTCAATCGAAGTTTCATCTTAAATCTGTTGTGTAACTATGAAATATAAATTTATATTAAGGATCTGCTAAATTATAGACAATGTGCGCTATATGCACAATAACTGCTATGCATATCCGATCTGAAAAGTAAGCCGTTCAGCATCCTTTTCGTTTGAAGCACGTTATCCTACCGGAGTTGTCTCCCGTTAAGCTCGATGACGCTCTAACGGAAGTTGACAAAATCAACGTTAGAATGGCAGCTACCGAGAAAAATGTGAACCTTGGACTGCCCGATTTATCTGGGTTGTCTGAAGCCGAGGCTCTACAGGTCATGGCAGTGATGCAGAGGGCTAAGGTATGTTGTTTTGATGATTAAAGTGGGTGTATGCACCGCGCTTGAAATGACCGGAAGCTCCCCGGTGTTGTCATATGCACTCTTGTCATCGACCCATAACGATTGGACAAGCTCCGGTCACCCGACACGCGATATTTACATACTTATGAGGCTTCTTAAAGTTTCAAACGTCATATGAAAGCTGCTCAATTGATTTTGGATGATACCACAGATGTTCAATCACCAGTGACGACGAATTCATTGTCAGGTATATATATGCTAGCGTTATACTGTGACAACGTACGTAGGCGCATTGATATTGAGACATACATTTCAAACAGTTGACAAGGCCCACACGAAATCGCTGTCAACTTACATAAGTAAGTGTTGAAGTAGGCCAACATCAGTTACACCCCCTTTATTATATGGTTTTCAGTTTGCATTTGTATACAGGTATACATGAATTTTGAACCAGTAAACAGGTACATGTAACTCGATGGAGTAGGTTAATATTTGTTTACATGGATTTGTGAGTTTTATTTCTGCTGTCACATGATTGTGTGGTAACCCAACACTCTTGGTTGGTGTCATATTGATATACAATGCTGACCGGTGACCCTGCAGCACATCCAGGGAATCTGTGCACTGTTTACAAGACTCTCAAAATTAAACAGCAATATTTTTGTGAACAGAATCAATGAAATATCCCTGAAATGACTGCATTCAAACCCTTATATACATGTATGTGTACTGTAAGCACTTCATGTGAAAACAATGACTTTGAAACATGTTAGGCCACTTACATAGAGGAAGAGACAAATCACCTCGGCATTACATTTGACAACTTATTAAATTTTGTCAAGGTACCAGCAACTCTTGTGAACAAAGCCAATAAATTGTTTGGTCTTATCTTTCAGAAATTCATCTTTATGAACAAAGATGTGTGTCTTATCCTAGTGAAATTCTAATAAATTCATACTTAGAATACCCAGGTATTGTGTGCTGTACATGTAGTAAAGAAAGACCAAATGTCTGTTGGAAAGATACCTAGATAAAAGTTACCAAAAGAGTAACGACATTAAAGGAACCTGCCATACTTAAACTCAGATTGAAAAAAATTTAGACTCCCCATATTAGGACTTAGAAATTATATGGTGGAAACTTTTAGATAACATTACTGTGTTTAAGCCAACATTAGAGGGTGTAGTAATGTTGACATAAGGCAGTGTTTTTTGGGACTCATTTATTTGAGTCCTGGACTCCTGTGCTTGCTTTACCTTTGGGACTCACTCAGATTTTATATATATCTTATATATCTTATCAAAATTTTGGAATAAGTGTTTCTGGGCTTGCCTGCAAAAAAAAAACATCCTGCAGAAATTATTGCATTGTTGAATTTCATATGTATATTGTAGTTTCTCCTTGATCCCTTTCTTGTACCATTATTAAAAAAAACAATGTGGCTAACATGGGTTCCATTTCGGATTTGGCAATGAAAGATTTTTCACATTTCATAAACTGGTAATTAAGAGAGAGAGAGATTAATTAACAGAAGAAAGAAGGGAAGAGATCAAACTTTTAAAGATCAAGTAAAGTGTAGACCAATATTGATAAAATTCTAAAATCTATATTATGTACTAACAAGCTAGTACACAAAATACAAAACCCTGGTAAGTTTGGAAGAATATCTAAAGAACTAATTCTTTTCGTGTTGAATGTTGATGTATTGATTGAAATAACACCTTCATAATTCCAATTGATGTAGTTACCTTATATAGTGAATTGTAGCTGAATCAGTCTCCTTTTATAGATCAGTTATATCTTTGTGTTATGGTGTTGTACATGGATGTGTCTCGTGGGTATTGTGTGTTTTGGTCTACTTTCTAGTGATATAGTTGATGCCAATATTGATTATTAGTTAGGTAAGTCTCTTAAATTCACTTCTCAGTCAGACTACCATATGTATGTACGTCTGATGTTTTCTATTGATTTCTGTCGTTAACTTACCAAATTCTAAGTCTCTTTTTGCAGACTAAAACTTCATGGCTGTTTATCACACTATTTCTGTATTATTCTGTGTATGTATCCAATATTTTTGCCTATGACCATATGTAGTATGACTTAGAGTGATATGCTGACTGTTCAGGGCTTTGATATGTTATGGGCAGAAGATGTCACAAAATATATCATTACACTTTGTTCATAAGGGATGGAAGACGTTACAAATTATTATTGCAGTCTTCTCATAACCTTGGTGTCTTATGGGTAGAGGTTGCCACAAATATCATTACAGTGTGGACAGGACCTTGGTGTCGTATGGGTAGAGGGTGTCACAAACAACATTACAGTGTGGACAGGACCTTGGTGTCGTATGGGTAGAGGGTGTCACAAACAACATTACAGTGTGGACAGGACCTTACAGTGTGTGGACCTTGTATGGGTAGAGGGTGTCACAAATATCATTACAGTGTGGACAGGACCTTGGTGTCGTATGGGTAGAGGGTGTCACAAATATCATTACAGTGTGGACTGGACCTTGGTGTCGTATGGGTAGAGGGTGTCACAAATATCATTACAGTGTGGACTGGACCTTGGTGTCGTATGGGTAGAGGGTGTCACAAATATCATTACAGTGTGGACTGGACCTTGGTGTCGTATAGTTAGAGGTTGCCACAAATGTCATAACATCTGGACAGAACCATAGTGTCTTACCTTTGCCTGTTACATGTACTTTAATGTAGAAATATACGTTAGAAGCTGACCATGCAGGTGATCACCTTGTTTCTGTGTACCAGACTGTCTGATTAGAGATCAATGAATGGTTGCTCCCTGTGAACACCTGTATATATAGAAATCTGTGACTGCTACAGTAAATAATTGAAAGTAGATGCTGTTTGGCCTGTAATCTCTGTAATGATGTGTTAATTATACCAGGCTTTCTTACTTATGTCAGTAATGACTACAGACATATAGTGATTTACAGTCTAATTAAGTATAAGAATCATCTATAGGTCCTGTAATGCCAATCAGATCTGTAGTTGATTATAAGTTCATGGCTTCCTAGCTAGCTCTCTGACCAGCATTATTTATCAGAGAAAATCTCTGCTGGAGTCCTCGTCTGTCCGCTGAAAGGTCCAAAATCCGTAATAGTAGATGTAAAACCTGTTGAATAATTAAATTAACTGCTGGAGTAGAATCTGTTTATGTCTTCCTGTACTTTCTGCTAGAGCAGAAATGTTTGGATTCTTTATAAATCTCTGCTGTGGTGAATCCTCTGATTAAAAAAAAAAAAACTAAGAATCTCTGCTACAGCATAGATGCTCTTGTAGAGATTTTTTGTTTTCATAACTGTTTACTGAAATATAGATATTTAGTATATATTCCAAACTGTAAATGTTGGTGTTCTGTGGACAGTGACTGCTGAAGCAGAGGCTATTTTCATTGGTGTCTTCTCTGGACTCTCTGCATGAGTTGAAAAGTTTTGTGTCCTTTCGATTGATATATTTTTGGCGTTCTCTGCTGTTATATCTGCTGGCTTAGATAGTTTTGGTGTCTTTTGAATTCTCTGCAGAAGTAGGGATGCTTGATTTCCTCTGGAATCTGCTGGACTAGAGGTCTGTAATCTGTGCTAGAAGACATAGGGTGTCCTCTAGTGAAGTTGAAATTTTTGGTGTCCTTCTTTCATAAAAGGACTGTCAATTAACAAATTTATCTCATCAAATCATACATGGCCAGTAACTTTTCTGTGACATGATTGATGATATCGAACACTGATGTCTTAGAAACAGTTGTTTCAGTTCATGTGACCATATTTGATGGATTTCCCATTGGCTAGATTTCAGCTGTACAGGTTAATGTCTATGTCCATGTATATCAAGAATGGTCATATATTGAATAGATGATAGGCTGACCTCTCAACATTGAAGTCAGAATGTACAGATCAGAATGTATGGATCAGAATGTACCCTGAAGTATTGTTTCATGCTTGGGACTTGGTGTACAAAATGTAATTAATCCTGAAGCAGAACAGGTGTATAAAAACAAGAAGGATATTATTCAATGTGATGGATTTCAAAGAAACTTATCGGAACTTGGAGTTCAGGGCTGGTAATGCAACAGTATAGCTACAGTTGTCTTTTTGTGGTTGTATTGTTGAATGAGTAATTGTTCATTGTTGGTATACAAATTGCAGCTTTCTGATTAATTGAGTTTTTCGTTTCATTTCTTGATAAAATAAACCCCTTCTAGCTCTGCCCACTTGATAATGATTCATGGGGTTAATGACAACACACCATCTAGCAGCGTGTGTGTAGGAACGTCTTTTTTATATGAATGGATATTCCTATCAAAGCTTAAAACCTTAATACTTTCTTGGGGATATTTTTACTATTTTGCAGTTCTAAAACATAATCATAAAAGTTTAATCCATGAAATAATGAGACACATGTGTATTTGATGTCTATTTAAATCCAGATGGCAAAATTTTTAATTCGGTGAAATATGATTTGATCATTTAAAAAATAAATAGCAAAAATTTGACTTGTGAAAATAACCAGCTATACAGTATTATAATGTTAAGTTTTAAGCAGAGACTTAATACTGAAGATATTGTTTATGCATTTTTCTTAATTCTGTCTAAATACATTTCAGAATAAAGTTTGATTTCTTTAAGTTTTAAAGTGTGTAATACAATCATCTCATTATAATCAGTATAGAACTGGGTCACCCCTTGTTTTGATACTTTTACTTATCATCATTTTAATTTAAGTTATCTTTGTAAACCATTGCTGGCTTTATCTGCACTTGAAAAGGCTGAGGGTGTTGGCTGACACATATACTGGACTTGCCGTCGTATCTGTTATGATAATTATTTATCAGCAAAACTATTACACAATACATGTGATGGTGTATATTGTTTCATGATGTATACAGAACAGTTCCAAGTTAATTAAGTAACAGTGCACTAGGTTCTGTAGATAGGAAGGTTACAATTCTCACCAGCTATGACAACGTACCAGGTACTGTAGAGAGGAATGTCACAATTCTCACCAGATATGACAGTGTACCAGGTACTGTAGATAGGGGGGTTACAATTCTCACTGATTTGTCAACATACCAGGTTCTGTAGATAGGGGGGTTACAATTCTCACCGGCTATGACAACGTACCAGGTACTGTAGATAGGAAGGTTACAATTCTCACCAGCTATGACAACATACCAGGTACTGTAGAGAGGAATTCCAGGTACAGTGTACCAGGTACTGTAGAGAGGAAGGTTACAATTCTCACCAGCTATGACAGTGTACCAGGTACTGTAGATAGGAAGGTTACAATTCTCACCAGCTATGACAACATACCAGGTACTGTAGAGAGGAATGTCACAATTTTTACCAGATATGACCGTGTACCAGGTACTGTAGATAGGGGGGGTTACAATTCTTACCAGATATTACAGTGTACCAGGTACTGTAGAGAGGAAGGTTACAATTCTCACCAGCTATGACAGTGTACCAGGTACTGTAGAGAGGAAGGTTACAATTCTCACCAGCTATGACAGTGTACCAGGTACTGTAGATAGGAAGGTTACAATTCTCACCAGATATGACAGTGTACCAGGCACGCTAGACATAAATGTGTTATAGGCCTGCAAGGCAAGTTCCAACCATTAAAGAATTGTAGATGACTTTAATTGTATTTTTATTGTTTTCCTCAAAAATGTTCAGTGGAGCATATTGATGCCACCATGTCTGTTTGTCCATCCTTTCCTCTCCAGAGCATAACTTTGCCCACAGATTAGCATGGATCATGAAACTTTTTTGTGTCTAGAGGTCAATTTAAATTGCTTGCATTTAAACCAGGATAATCAAAATTTGTGGAGACATTGATCATAATAAGGTAATGTGCTGTGTACAAAATTCCAGCCCCTTGATCCCTCAATTACAGCTATTGTCCTTTGTCAAAAACATATTTTCCATTGCATAAAGTTGCTTGCATTTAAGGTACAGTAATGAAATTTGGTGTATATATTGATCATACAAAGACAATGGGCATTGTACATTGTACAATGTCCGCAACCCCTTATTTACAGAGTTATTGCCCTTTGCTTAAAATATCTTGCCCATTACATAATTTGCTTGTCTTTAAGGTAGGATAATGCCATTAGGTGTGTACATTGATTATATGAAAACAATATGCAGTGTACCAGTATAAGTGTTTGCAAACCCTTAGTTAGAGTTATTGCCCTTTGTTAAAATTTTGTGTCTGGAGCATGATTTTGACTTGATATTGAAACTTGATGTATGTATCAGTCATATGAAAACACGGTGCAGTGTGGAACAAAGTCTGGGTCCAAGACCCTCAGTACCAAGTTAGTGCTCTTGGTTAAAATTTTGTGTCATAAGTATAGCTTTGCTTGCATTAAAATCAGGATAATGAATCTTGGTGCATACATTGGTCACATTAAGAAAATTCAGATTTGTAGCCCTTTGTTAAAATTTTGTGTCCAATAAAGTTGTTTTTTAGGGAGCATTCATCAGTTTCACTGATACTCTTGTTTCACTGTTTAGGTGTTAGTATGACTTTGTGTAAAATGTATATTTCAAAAAAGTCCAAAGGATTTGTTGGGCTTGTACTATTTTAGTACTGTTGGGCATGTATAATCCCTTATACTTACCATTAGTACTTATGTTCACATCAAAAGACGGGCAGATGTTAAAAATTTCACTTTTCAAAAGTCTATGATCTTCACTTAAGTATCAGCTTTGAAGTAGTATATACACTTGTTGGGCCACACCAGGGCCACAGTATAGTGTTATTGATCTATAAGTGAAGGTGATGTTGGGCCAGGGTACATCCCTTTCAGTACAACACCACATGTGGAGGTAATCCAAATAATGTGTATTGATTAAGTGAGGCGAATATGTATATGAAACACTGATATGCACAAGGTACTGACTGAAAGTCCGAGTGATGAGCCGATAAAGCTGTAGGTTATGATCAGTGTCGAAAAATGTACACTGCAGTCATCAATTATATATGTTTATACCACTACAGCAGTACACCTATCAGACAGATGTAGACCGGGATTGATACCATATTTTATGTTGTCTGAGGATACTGTGATATCTGTTTCTGTGTTAATGCGTTATTTAATTTTTCTACTTGTAGGATTTTGAAGAAGTGGAGGGAGCAAAACATATGAGGTATGTTGATTGATTTGTCCATGTAGCCAAGTTTCCTCAGTTGATAGAAACACCACTGAGAACTTCAGTATATCTGTAGACTCTGGTGAAAGCCATCAATGATTCACAGGGATACACTGCATTCTGTCATATACAGCTTGATATTAATTGGCTGCTTCAGTTTCATATGACACTTGGAATACAAAATGTGTCATTTTTGTAATTGAGTAAGATCCTACATGCCACTTCCACCTGTATAATTATATAGTAATGTAAATTGATTATATATGACTGTATGAATCATTAATGTTTAAAAAATGACTGTTTTCTCTAGTAACAACCCAGATATAAAGCCTATTTTCCAAGTGTCTTATTTTTTTGTATCTTCAAAATTTTAATGTGTTAGCAAGTCTGATAATTTTAGTATCACAGGCCTAACATCAATGGATATAACTATTTGAATTGTTGCTTAGCCCAGAAGAAAAGATGACATTTTAATTTTGAAACTTACAGTCTTGATATACCCATGAACAAATTGTAATATTATGCCATGTTTAGGCCAACAACTACATGTATACAGTGCTGTTTACATATAATAAATCAAAGCTGACAGCATTAAATTTAAATAATCTTTGTTTAGAGTGCCCTGAGGCCGTTCTATGTGTCATTGTAGCAACATTTACTGGGCTGTACAAGTTGCAAAAAGTTTCTCTTGCTCTTGCCCTCCCAGTGTCTATTTCAGAAAATGTCCTTACATGCATACCTTGTGTATGTAGAATAATTATAAGTTGAAACAACTTAACATTGCTGGTATATGATTTGGATAGCTATCAGATTCGGATAGCATTATGTTAACCATCATTAGAATTTCTCTTAGTCTGAACTTCCTGCTCTGCTGACATTTTAGAAGGCATTAAGAAGAGACTTCCTCTCAATTAACAGGAGGATAGAATCTTTCCTTAAGCATTTCTGGATTGTTACATGTCTAAAGTAAAACTGTAGATTATTTAAAGCCTCAGGAGGTTAGATGCACTGTTTCCATTGCAAAGTGTCTAATTCCTTATGAATTAAATATCAAAATGCTGACTATGTACATGTATACATAGGTCTGTATGATATTGGTTACAATTAGTGAAGGTTGTTTAGTACTAGGGACAAACAATCTTGACCTGCAGTATTTATAGTATCATTCAATAAGGATTTATTTATTCAGATTGATGTCAGGCTTACAGCCTCTATTTGCTTATCATTGAAAAAAAGTAGAATTAAATAAAGATACAAAATTTTCAGTAACCAATCGTTCATTAGTACTATTGTCATTTTCCCAATGTTCATCTAACAAAATTACAGTCTGCTTTACAATAGAAGCATCAACAATGTGTTGTGGCAAACTATTTTAGTTACCCGGTATGCACATCTTATAAACTTAAAAGGTTTTCCTTCAATCTACCTGTAGCTATAGATAGCAACACATTTTATTTGATGAATGTTTCTTAAATATCATACTAGCGTTATCGATATCAAAATGTTTCTGTTGACCCATACAAATTCATAAAGTATAATTTTCATGGTTTTAAAGGTCATAGCATGCTGTGTTTATAGTGTCATGACCTGCTGTGTTTATAGTCTCATGACTTACTGTGTTTAATGTGTCATGACCTGCTGTGTTTAATGTGTCGTGACTTACTGTGTTTAATGTATCATGACCTGCTGTGTTTAATGTGTCATGACCTGCTGTGTTTAATGTGTCATGACTTACTGTGTTTAATGTGTCATGACCTGCTGTGTTTAATGTGTCATGACTTACTGTGTTTAATGTGTCATGACCTGCTGTGTTTAATGTGTCATGACTTACTGTGTTTAATGTGTCATGACCTGCTGTGTTTAATGTGTCGTGACCTACTGTGTTTAATGTATCATGACCTGCTGTGTTTAATGTGTCATGACCTGCTGTGTTTAATGTGTCATGACTTACTGTGTTTAATGTGTCATGACCTGCTGTGTTTAATGTGTCATGACTTGCTGTGTTTAATGTGTCGTGACCTGCTGTGTTTAATGTGTCATGTGTTTAATGTATATGACCTGTGTGTTTAATGTGTCATGACCTGCTGTGTTTAATGTGTCATGATTTACTGTGTTTAATGTGTCATGACCTGCTGTGTTTAATGTGTCATGACTTGCTGTGTTTAATGTGTCATGAATTGCTGTGTTTAATGTGTCATGACCTGCTGTTTTAATGTGTCATGACTTGATGTGTTTATAATGTCATGACCTGCTGTACCATTCATTAAAAAATGTGTTGTGTTTACAGACAACCAATGGAAGGACAACTACACAAGTATACTAATGCCTTTAAAGGCTGGCAGTTCAGATGGTTTGTGCTGGACCCAGATTCAGGCATGCTGGAGTATTTTGAGGTATGTCTGGCTACAATGTTGTTTATAGAATTATTCTCAGTTCATTAGAGTAAATGTCCAACTTATTTTAAATTGTGGAGGGTTTACCATCTTTGTAGTGGCAGCATTAGGACTTTCATGGCAGATGTTTTTGTGATAAAGTATACTCAGGTTAGTGTTTCATGAGCATTGACCTGTTCTCCCAATGTCCTGTCCACCTACTGTTGAACCCTGGCAGATAATGAATAGGTATTTGGAAGGAACATCTTGAGAAATTATGAAAGCTAAATTCATTGATATCATTTGAATATATCACAAATTGATAGTAGAACTTCATTTAACAGTAAATCATTATTTACACTTTAAAGATGCAAATAGGCTTTCAATGGAAAAATGAAATATTTCCCTTCATAACTACATTGAGTGAACACACATAGTTTCCATATCATGATGTAAACACTGAGGTACATGGCATAAAGATCTTTCATCAATCTACATAGTGTTGTACTTTACACTGGGATTATACTGCTGTTCATCTTATTCAAGTTACACCATTTCACAGATAAATTTTGTGTTCAGATAGCATGAAGGACCTAGAGATAGCCTTTTCCCTAACTAGACTCTAATCCCTGTCGTTTAGTACAGCTTCAGGGTCTGGAAGGCTCTCTAGGCTGGATATATGAAGTCTTCCTATACTGAAATGGGTCCATTTCTTGTGTGGAGTTAGCCGGGTCACTTGTCTGATCAGGAATAACAGGAGATCTCTAATTCAATTCTCAATCAGCACCAAGTAAATTACAGTGAGTCTATTGCAGGTCCGGAGACAGTACCAGGTCTGATTAGAAACTGCATGTGATATCTGCTGTTAAATTCAGCACAAACTTCATTACATGTACAAGAAAGGGCTGCTACTTAAGATAAAGCTCAGTACGTCTGTTGGCAAGGGGAATGATTAAGATCATGATATAGGGGATTAATGGAAAAATCAAAACTTATTCTGCTGAACAAAATTTTCTTTTTACAGAAAGAAGAGCAGAAGAAGCAGAGACCTAGAGGTTATGTCCAGCTGGCTGTAAGTTTAACACAGTAACATTCTACTCTTGTGACAGTTCATTTTCGGTACTAATATTGATTTATCATGTCATTAACATGAACAGTATGTAATGTTTTTCTTCAAAAAAAGAATTTAAGCAGTGAATTATAGTTTACTTTTTTTGGAACTTTTTTCATGAACTGATTCATGTTTGATGAAAAATGTGTAAAAAATTGAATTTGTTCATATCTGAGTACAAGCAAATATATGTAAAAGATGGCAGTGCAAGTTCACATATCAAAAAAAAAAAATAAGACAGAAATTGAGAAAAAATTAACTTGTCTTCTCTGGACATTTAAACTTATGAGTACTTTAAAGGTTGAGATGTAAATATTGATATGAATTACTTGTTCAGAAAATGTGTTACTTCATCTTTCATATCAATATTGTAATACTTCAGGCATCAGTTATCTCCCCATCAGACGAGGACTCCCAGACATTCACAGTAAATGCTGCCAACGGAGAACTATATCGCCTGCGAGGTATTTATTGTGGAACATTGATTTCTGGCACCAGATATTATATTGAATATAAAAGGATGTATGGCACAAATCATTTCCACTTATATGGTGCATTTTCCCGTTAATATATTATTCATGACATAGCTAGCTTTGCAAATAATGATTCATTCATTAGTATCCTACCTGATATGGATAAGCATTTAAAACATTTAAAACCTTATACAATGTATGACAGCAATCTAACAATGGCATGAATCCTCTTGAAATGTCTAGCTCAACTTTTAAGGTGTTCGTTTAAACTGAATAGACTGTTAATTCTAGGTCATATATGTGTGAGATTCTGTGGCCAGCAGCAGGCCAATACTTAACAGGGACAAGGGGGGCTATAGGCTTTTGTATATTTATGACTAAGTGTTAAACAAAGTGTAACCGAATTGACTACAGTACCTTGTTATCATCTTGTGTATTTGTTTACGATATCATCATACTATTTTCAACCCTAGTGTACATAGGATTATAGTACAGCCAAAAAAGTTGGTTAATTCCTAACCATCTTGTACATTACATACATTAGTGCTAGTACACTCCACAATGATCCTTTGTCTAATGAAGGTGACTGTGTAGTCATCGAAACGTCACACTCTAATCTTCTTCTGGTTGTGTAAAAAGATCTTCTATTACATTGTCTTTGTACACATCGAAAAAAAAGCTTGTTTACTAGATATCACTTTAACCCCTTAACAGTTGAGGTTCACACCACAGTATTCCTTTAAATTTCTGTTCACCTGAAAATATTTTGATGATCATCTTACAAAGTAGGAGGGTCAAATGTCATGTTCAGGGAACAAGGTTTATGTCCTGGTTCATATACCTTTCAGAAAAGAACCAGCAGTCTGTAATCAGGGAGATAATTATGTGATATTCCATCAGGGAACAAGGTTTATGTCCTGGCTCATATACCTTTCAGAAAAGAACCAGCAGTCTGTAATCAGGGAGATAATTATGTGATATTCCATTATTGAATTTGCGTGGTTTTTATCTGACAGTGGCCATTCTGAGTTTTAAGAATGAGGTACATTGAAAGTGTTTGCTGTTTGATTTTCAGCATCTGATGCCAAAGAAAGACAGCACTGGGTTGACAAGTTACGATCTACAGCAGAGTACCACACAGCTAACATGGTAAATGTTTGTCTATACTTCTTGTACGATCAACTTTAGTAAATTACATTTTAGTTTCATCCTTTGTCATTGCTATTTATAAGGACACAATTAGGGTTCCTCATGAGGTAATCACTCTGTCTAGGTTTGTTTCTGGATGAAAACTTTTGAAATTATCTTTCTGCTTGATACTTCCTTCCAGTGGTCATTGTTGCCACTTTTCTGGTGCCAGTTTTTCCATACTCATCACTATTATTTCTGGTCGGCGTTTCTAGGTTTATATAGTATCAAATGTATAATAAGGCATAATGTTTGTGACAACGATGTAGATTTGACACTTTCTCTTACCAAATTTCTGTTGATTAGATGTATAAGTATGTCGTCTGAGGTAGGAAGATTTTCATGTTGATGCACAACTATTTGACATGGAATACATACCATACATATTGTTCATTCATTTCATTAAAGAACTGATAATTGTTTTGCGTTAACCTAGATTTGACATACATTAAAACATGGAGAATCTTACTTTTATTTCTACTCAGGAGAGGCTTTTAAAACATGTCTTGAGGATTTGTCATTTTACCTAGCTTCTGTTGGAGTAAAATGAAAAATTTGTAATGAGTTTCATAAATTTCGTATGAAATTGAAACATATGGAAGATTCTGTTTATAACATAACTGATATTTACAAACATTCTTGATAACAGCATTCTTTTTTATATGAAATGTGAATTCATGATATTCTTGCTCTATGTCTCTTTTTTTATTTTTGTGATATCACAATGCATATGATGCCATGAAGTTACTACGTCACCATGGAAACAATGGGAAGCTTTATGATTTCAGAGAGATCTACTATTATAACAAGTATGTTTGTATTGTAGAGTTCTCCGTCACAAAAACCTGATGTACGGTCCCTGTCAATGAACTTGTCCACAAATGAGTCGTCAACACACCTACCAGTCAGGTCGAGGAAGTCTGCCTCTGTCCGTGGTGATCAAGATGTAGTGGTACCTACCAAATCTGTCGCTGCTAGGTAGGTTTTATTGATTTTTAATGCATAGTCTGTCAAAATATACTGGATACTCTGAATTAAGCATGTCTGGATGTCTGCTGTCTATGAAGCTTCAAAATATTAGGATCCGATTTCAGTGGATCGAAATAGGAATATTAAGCACCATATGTAGATGTGCATGTATTGATTTTTTTTCTGAAAGTGTTTGTTGTAATGGTTACGGTTACAATACACATGGACCATAACTCTTTAAGTCTTCTCGATCAATTTCATTTAGACTTGGTCAAATGATGAAAGTGATCAAAGCCTTAACTTTGACATATATAGTGTTCCTAGTCCATTACCGTGGAAACACATGTAGACTTCTGATTAGTTTAAATTTAAATGCTACCTGAATCACCTGAAAATCAATTAATATATAGTAGAGGTTTTGTTGACTGGCAAATACAATTTCTCAAAATGGCAGAAAGGTTTTTGTTTGGTAGAAGACCATTCATAATACAGGACACAAACTAAATGTATTACAGTTTGTGACATTGTAACACCTCATTAACAGGTCTGAAAGCAAAGCACCGGCAGCCCATCCTCACACCCTGGATCCTTTCCGAGAAGTGAAGGAGTATATTGTAGAGGCTGAGGACTACTCCGAGACTCTCAATGAAAAAATTAATGTAAGTTTAATCAGATTTTCTATGGTTAGTCATCTGATATTTCGACTATTGTTGTCCTAGTTTTAAGCTTGCCAGGTTATAACAAGTAATCATGAGCTAATGCTGTTTCCTGTTTGTCTTTGTCTCAAACTAAAAGTTTTAGAAAGGCCATAAATGTACATCCAACAACACTCATCTGATTGGTATCAGCTTTTAAGATTTATGTTGCGATAGTCTGTGATTTCTTTTTTTTTTTTCACTTTTTTGTGAACCAATCCTTTTTTGGGCTGAACTTTTTTCAACATCAGAACTAATTTTGAGTATGTTTTTGATCAACTTTACATCCATATGATCCATCCTACACCCTGTTTATTTTGTATATATTATACTTCAGCATTTTGCTGTGACCATTGACAGCTTGGCAACCATTGATTGTACTGAAGTTAAAACAGTATCAGCTCTTTGATGAATAATACAATAAATCTAATAATGAAACCATGTGATTATAAAATGCTTGCAAATAACTCTATCAATATTAGGAATACTATATCAAGGAGATACACTATTCTCTAATATATTCTACTATCAGTAATAGCAAACAGAAATAGATATAAGGAAAAATGAGAAAGATGACTAGAGGATATACAATCCTGTTCTATGTGCCTTAATGTATTTGTTAGATGTTAGTACATTAACATTTTAAGACTGTAATGGTAAATAAGATAATTAACTCCATGGTCCTTCTTTCTCTTCTTCTTTTTCTCATTCTTCTCCTCAAGTACTTTTTCCTTTCTATTATAAAAAGTGCATTATATGAAATCTATAGAATATCATAACGCAAATTTCCTTTTAAATATAACCATAGATAAATGGATGGTATTACTCAGCTAGAATCAGGGACTTTATTACAAGTGACAAATATATATCAGATTATGTGAAAGAATTAGATTTAAATCTGTATTTGCATTTTTACAAAATTTGGGAAAGGAACGAAAATTTAAAAAAAAAAGAATAGGGAGTAGGTAAAATGCATAAAAAGATACTTTACAACATTTCATTTCAATATGTAACCAAATTATTTCAAACCCAAAGTTGGTGAATATATATTTAGCAGAAAAAATGAGTTAGCAATAATTCCAAAGTGGATTTTTTATTGATGTAAAGTTGAATAGAAATTTTATGGTATAATTTAAAAATTTAAATGTGTTTACAATGCCAAACATTTTTTATAAGTCATAACACATGACAAGAAATGGAGTTAGCATTAGGTTACTCACTGTCGTAGAATGCCATGTCAAGTTGACATTATTCCTGAGTACTGAAGATCTATTTCTATCACCTGTACGTACCACTTACTTATCATGTTTGTTGCATGCTTTTTTAGAAAAAATTATATTAAAACAAACTATTATTCTTGCAGCATCTTCCTTCTGCAGGAGAAACGATTACAGGACTGGACCCAGTAAGTATTCTGTTCTTATTAGAATAACTCAGGTAATGGTATTGGTTTTCATTTTGTGAAACTTTTTTTATGAAAATATTTCAACAAAGAAGATAACGATGATTACTTTAGAGTTTTCAGTCAATATTCGAGCATGTATTTGATACCAAAGCAGACTCAGTTCCAATACTTTACAATATGATTTATAAATATTGTATGGAAAGTATGTTGACTGGTACTAGGTATATGCTGTGTATGAAGTATTAACACAATGTATGGTGAGTAGTACTGTATTTTAATGGAGACTTTTGTTGCTACAGGATGTCTTATTGATCAAGGCCACGTCCAATGCCACCCTTACCTGTCTATCACAGTGCCTAAAGATGTTACAGCAACGACAGGTATGGTTACAGCAGCAGCAGGTATGGTTACAGCCTGTAGTCTCTTCTGTCTACCTGTTGTACCTTTGACCCTTTCCCTGTCAAACTATTTATCTAATATTGGTTATTGTATTAGAACTATATCAGATAGATTTAAGCATGTGGAAGTGCTAAGGTAAAATTGCCCGGTACCATTGATAAACTACAGTATTTGGTAGTGCTGAAGTATAAACAGACAGGCACCAGGGATGTTATCTAAAGAGGGTGACTTCTTTTCCAGTCTTGAGTCATTACTGTAATAACTTGACATCAGGGTACAGATGTACCTAGTCATAATAGTAAACCTCCCATTAACTAGATGGTAAAAAAGTAATGTCAGTATATAATGTAAAACCATTTTAAGATTGTGAGATATTATTTTAACGTTAGATATTAGGTATCAAGATTAAAAAAAACTTATAAGCACATGCATCATGGTAAGGTAATAGAGTGTGTGTTTAGCCTGTAGCTAAAAATTCATGAGTGTACAACTATGGTGTTACTACTCAGGTGGCAATGACAGCTTCGTCATCACTTTACTTATTATTATGAAAGTTTTGTGTTTAGAAACTTTTCTCAAAAAGCCTAAGCCTGACTTTAATCAAACATGTCTGTACTAGTTATATCACATAATGGACCTAAAGAAAACAAGATTAGCTACAAAACATCTAGATTTTATAGTCCAATAACTGAAGATTAGCGATTTTGAGAAAGTGGACTTCCGAGGTTTGCTTTTAGCTCAGTTTCTCATAAAGTAAGAGAGCTATGCCAATCATGGATTATAGTTACATTGTAGTAAGGACATTAGAGATCATCAAGTACATTACAAGAGATTTATTTTCTTGATGTATTTTTACGATAAAAACCTAGTACACCTGAAGATATTACTACAACATGGCTTTCCTTGCTCAATTCACTAGAGAATCAGTTTTAGTATAATCAGATTGAAATGAGTTTTTGTAAATCACCATGAAAGATTTTTTCTCCCGTTTCAGGAAGTTAAGGGGAATATCTTTGTTTTAAAAAGTCAATTTAAAGTGGATTTTCTGGATGGATGAGATTGCAAAATTAACATTTCATGTTTTACAATACACCCATACTGATATGTCTACACATATATCTATATCGCTTACATGCTGATAATTAAAGTGGACCTGAAGGAAGAAATAAAAGAAACAATTACTATGTAGGACAACTCTGTGGAGGAAAATATTAATAAAAGATGGATAAATTTGATCATAGTAACACGTTTCATTAATTGCCAGTCCGACAATTTAAATTCATTGCTAATAGATAATTAAATATTCATGTCATCTAGTTTTACTTTTTTGTTTTGTTGCATGTGTCAAATTATTCAGAAGCTTATTTCTAATGTTTCATGTATTTATTTCATTATTATTATTTCATTATAGAGTAGAAAGAGAATTTTGTATTTTGGTGTAGTATTAAACCCCATTTGAAATCATATAAAATCACAATCAAATCACATAAAAATGAAAAAAAAATAAGAATAAAGGTTAAATTCAGTTTACAAGTAGCACTTACGAAGTATACAGTTGATACTTTGAAAGTAAAATGACACAATTTATATTGAACGATTTTATCAATTTAAAAAATGAATTGATTGGTAACATAAAACATGATATGTATATAAAACATTATAGATTTACTGCCTGTTATTATTAACCTCACATTGTCCTTTGCTTGTTCTTGTTCCTGATGGCTCATGTTTTACTGTAATTCCAGACAGTTTATTGACTTACCTGTCCTAGAAAGGGTTTGTGTATTCTTTATACTGCTTACACTCCTGACAGTTGTGTTTTGTCTCTTCCATAGGGAGCATCCGTCAAACCTGCCCCTCACCCTACTGCTCTCAACTGGGGTGACCCTAACACACAACCAGTGTAAGTTCAAAATATCATGGGGTCAAACCCAGACATTCCACCAGTTTCTGTAGCTCAGACTAAGGCTGTGATTGGTGCTGTTATAATAGATCTAAGGAAATATTAAAAAATAGGACCATGTTTCTCGATCATAGTGCATGGTGTTTCTGTGGTCTAATTGTATCTACATCATCAAACCATTGCTGGATTCAAATTGATTGGTTGGTATTTTAGGCATTAATGTTCTTTTGTCAGTACAAAATAAAATTTTTGTTAGTGTTGAGTGAAATCAGATTAAATATTGTCTTTGGTGATTTTGACAAAGAATTAATAAAGTATGTGGCTGAGAATAGTTATTGATGTTCCTGGAGCAGCAATAATCCTGACACCTGACTCCTTTATCACAGTAGTACTCATGTGGCTGTACCCAAAGCCACCAGTTCTCGGGGAGTGCCCTCCCCTACAGGAAGTTTCTCTTCGGCGACATCACTGCCATTTACACTGCCTGACCAGGTCCAGGATGGTGAGTAGCTGTAGAGTGAAGATACTTTTTCTCTCTGGTGTAACGGTCAATATACATCAGTGTTTTCTTCGGTTGAAATATGATAGCATTCCATGACTTTGGCGAAGGATTTCTAAACCTTGGGTAATCAGCTATTGAATGAAGTATATTATGATCCCTAGAGTAGGATTATAAGTACTGGTTACATACACTCAAAACACAATTTACAGCACTTCACCAACATCTTTTTGATTAATGCATATTTCACAGATTCCAGTTAATTAGTTAGAAACTAAAAAAAATATTTTTTGGTAAAAAGCATGAATAGTTAAAAAAGAATCTATTTACTGATAAAATTCCACCTTCTTAGTTTTGTATTCCTTATTTGCATGCTACTCAAGTATTTTTACTTTAATTTCTTTATCCTTGTACGTGCACTTTGTGATCCTGTTCGTCTTATTGAGATGGTTGTGATTTTCTTTACATAAATACTCTGTGTTTATATTCTTTTGGTTTTTATGTGTGAAGTTTGTTTGAATCATTCTGAGGTTCTGTAAACTTTTGATATATTGGTCAGGAGTTGATATCGACAATCTCCAGTGTGATATAATAAGAATTGATAGTACCTGAGAATGATTTGGACTACTGTAAGTTGTGCCTCTGCCTTGGTTTGTTCACACCATTGTTATAATATCTGTATATCGGTTATAAAACACAGTTTTATCAAATTGCACAAACAATTTCCCACCTAAGATTAGCATATTTTTGAAGTTGATGTTTGATATTTGAATTTAAGTTGTAAGGGGGGAAAAAAAGACCTGAGCTGAATGTATCCATTTTTTCAGATAATGCTGCAAATCTGATTATTTGTATTGTTAGGTCCTATTAACCATGATGAGGAAGTAGAGGACAGCGCCAGCTACAGGGATACAGACCTTGGTAACGAGGTGGAGGAACACAAGAGTGTTATCCTTCATCTCCTCTCACAACTCAAGCTCGGCATGGATCTTACCAAGGTCAGTGATTATTATTACTCTACAGTAAACAAATATCTCCTGTATTTTCAATCAGATGATCTTTTATATGAAATTCTTAGATGTTGTTTTATACTTGTCCCAGTTGTTATTGCTGTGGTAATGGAGTGTCGATGTTGTTTGGGAGATAGTGTCACCAAAACGTTCTACAAAGGTGAACTCACTTCTTACATCACATAAAATAATTCCTTGTTCTAATGTCTAATGTCACAGTCTCTTTTAATTGCTTGTCAAACATTTACATACTGATGATACCTTCTAAATTGCAGGAAAATTCTTTAGTTGTCAGAAAGTATTTTATTTTTGGTTTAGAGACAAAATAAATCTTTTGATTGCCTACAAATAGTTACAACATAATATCTGAAGTTTGTTTCCTTTTAGGTTGTCCTTCCCACATTTATCCTGGAGCGCCGTTCCCTGTTGGAAATGTTTGCTGATTGTATGGCACATCCAGACTTCTTTCTCAAGTAAGTAAAAGAGTCGAGCCATAGCCACAACATTTTTGTGTTACTGCATTGAAATAGCAGTAAGGCTGTTACCTTCTATTGGTGTTGATGTCTGTGTTGGCGACACCCATTGAGAAGTCACATTTGAATTAGTTACTCTGAAACCATATTTAGCAAGAAAATTTGATATATATGTAGGTCAGAGGCTGTCACAATAGTTCAGTTAGTAGGGCGTACACAATCTCAAATAAGGATACAAGGTATGTGACTCAAACATACCAAGCTATGGTAGTTACAGCTGTAGATTCAAGTATTTTTTTCCAATAGCAAGTTTCAGTTTTATTCTAAGGAATGGTGTGGTATAAAATACCAGTAATTTTTCCCTGAAACATCAAGCTGATAGGACTTCCTACAATTAAAGAATTATTGAGTTGGATTCATTTGATACTCTGTTGTACAGAATTGCTGATCTCCCAGATCCAGAGTCACGTATGCTAGCTGTCCTTGAATGGTACCTCACATCTTTCCATGCAGCCCGACAGGTAAGTTCATGTACCAATATATATATATGTACCATGCAGCAGGTATTTACATCATAATTTCCTAGTCTATATTTGTGCAGAAGTTATTCAACCTGAATAAATATGCATCTGTGACCAATAACAATTATGTTGTGTTTTCTGAAACATTTTTAACTAATTTCACTGTAAATGCCAATGTTTGGAATTTCAAAATTGTAAATTACGTTCTCATTTATACAGAATCAGCAATACAGAAATTTAAACAAACTTCAATGTGTAAATTACATGTCATGAATAGCCAAGTGCTGGAGGATGACAATTTTATTAGTTATCACCATAGAAATACTGTTTAGCTTCCATCTGTTGTTTGTATAAGGTTGTTCTATGATGTAGAATTGGCCCTTTGGTAGGTTATGTCGATGTTTTGGTTTGTTCTATATTTAATGTGAAGATTGAGTGTCCTTTTATCTGCTTACACAGGGCTCTGTTGCCAAAAAGCCTTACAACCCTATAATTGGAGAAACATTCCATTGTTCCTGGCGCTTACAAGAAGATAATAACAAGAACAGTCAATCTAAGAATGCTTCTGAATCACCTGATGAGGACAATCAGACAGCAGACAAGGCAGGTGGACCCTGTGACAAACCTGCTCAGTTGACATTCTGTGCAGAGCAAGTCTCGCATCATCCCCCAGGTAAATTAGGAAGTAATCAACCTTTCACCCCAAGTAATTCTAACAGTATAACTCCCACTTACTCACCATCTCTAAAGCTAGTTTTTGATGTTATAATGACTCATCAACTGATTTCCACTTCAGAAGTGGACTTAAATCAAAACATTCTTACACTGGACAATATGCTTTGAAAATAAGCTACAAAACTTGTAAACTTTTCAAGAATTATGATGTGATCAAGTATTAATGGATTGTCCTGCAAATGTTATTTATTGTTTGTTTTTGCAGTGTCTGCCTTTTATTTCGAGTGTCCAGAGAAACAGATGTGCATGAATGCCTCCATATACACAAAGTCACGCTTCATGGGGATGTCTATAGGGGTACAGATGGTGGGCAAAAGTAGGTACTTAACTGTATCTGAAATAACACTGGTTATTATAAACATGTACCACTAGTAAGCAGCACTGTATGATTGAAATTTGTTCAGTTGGTCGGTATCTACCTCTACTTATTTTGCTTTATAGGTATCCTTTTTTGCCATTTTATTCTCAGTCCTCAAAAATAGTGAAAATTAAAGCCACTGGAAAAAAACGACATACAATATAAGTACAAATATATTTGTATATTTATATACAGTATAAGTACAAATATATTTGTATATTTATATACGGTATAAGTACAAATATATTTGTATATTTATATACAGTATAAGTACAAATATATTTGTATATTTATATACAGTATAAGTACAAACATATTTGTATATTTATATACAGTATAAGTACAAATATATTTGTATATTTATATACAGTATAAGTACAAATATATTTGTATATTTATATACGGTATAAGTACATATAATAATAATAATAGAATCAGTAGATCAGACTTGATCAGAGAGTGAACTCTCTTTAGTGTAGATATGACATTTTTCTGTGTATTGTGATGTAAATTTCTGTTGGTTGGAAAGGTACAATGGAGGCAACTTCATGATTTGTTTTGCTGAAATGAATTGATATAGTTAAATCACTGCTTGTACACTCACTTTGAATTTTTTGATTTTGATAAAGAAAATAAGAGAGCTTGTATATTACTAAGCTATGGGAAACACATGGATTGACACATTTAAAGATATAGACAATATTGTAGTAGACATTTATTCAGTTGAACAATGATACATGTATTTCAGTCTGTCTGAAGTTACTGGCACATGATGAAGAGTATGTGTTCATGATGCCTAGTGCCTACGCCCGATCTATACTCACTGTTCCGTGGGCTGAGATGGGGGACAAGATCACAATCAACTGCCAAAAAACCAATTTTGTTGCCAATGTCACATTCCATACTAAGGTAGGTAACTCTGTTTCAATGCGTCACCATTGGAACAATTTCTATTATGTTCCTGGTCAACGAAATTTAAGGGTCATTATGCTATACATGGTGGGGAATTAGGGTTAGCAGCAGCATCCACAGTGGTACCACATTTAGCGAAAAGGTGAGATAGACTTAAAGTTTTGTCCCAGACAAAGTAAAACTTGATGATGAAAGGCCAATATTTACAGGGTATTATTTTGATATCACACTCTCTATAAACCAGAGAATAAGATATTGGCTCAAGGACTGAAGGCCAATTGGCAGGTATCTGGTGGAAGACAGATGAAGGGTGTGATATTAAGATAATCATATCATAAGTTTTTATGATTACAACCTATTTGGAAATAAAAGAAAAAATACAGTTTTACAAATTAAAATAAAAAGTTGACTAAAAATATTAAGTTTTACTGTCAAACTTAAAATATCAGAAGCAAAAATGTATAACTGTATAGGAGGGGTTAGAGACAAGTCCATTTATGTGACAGTCTGTCAACCAACATGGAGCTCTCTTGACAAACTGTTTTATAAGTAACAAATGATATTCAAAATATACCCTGAGTATAAGGTGACAAATAGACAAGATGTAAGACAACAATGAAAGTACATGTACTGACATAAATAACTAAACAGTGTAAAGAGCAGGATTAAAACTGCAATTGTCAAATATAGACTAAACGACTGAAAATGATAAATGTGTTCAAGATTGTAATTTCAGGTACTGGTAGAAATGGTGTTTAAATCGATTTTTGTGAAATTATTAAGACTTTGAAAGATATAAGGTCTGTTCCAGTAAAAATTTTATCTGATTTCCAAGACTCCAAAATAGATCACTGTTCTCTATGGGGTTTTGTAGTGTATGTCTGGAATAACCTTTATTGGAAACTTGGTGTTTCTGTATCATTACTAAGGATTTAGTATAAAGGTATGTTATAATGTTTTGACTGAGCACCTATCTTTTTTTTTTGTTTGTGGACAGCCATTCTATGGGGGAAAGCTACACCGGGTGTCAGCTGAAGTAAAGAACAACAATCTCGGCACAGTGGCCTGTAAAGTACAGGGCGAATGGAACAATATTCTGGAATTCAGCTATGAAAATGTAAGGATGTTTAATACATAGACAAATTAATGTTTGATGTGATGCAAATATAAGGATGTCAAATATATACTAGACAAATGGATGTTTGATGTGATGCAAATATAAGGATGTCAAATATATACTAGACAAATGGATATTTGATGTGATGTAAATATAAGGATGTCAAATATATACTAGACAAATGGATATTTGATGTGATGTAAATATAGGGATGTCAAATATATACTAGACAAATGGATGTTTGATGTGATGCAAATATAAGGATGTCAAATATATACTAGACAAATGGATGTTTGATGTGATGCAAATATAAGATGTCAAATATATACTAGACAAATGGATGTTTGATGTGATGCAAATATAAGATGTCAAATATATACTAGACAAATGGATGTTTGATGTGATGCAAATATAAGGATGTCAAATATATACTAGACAAATGGATATTTGATGTGATGTAAATATAGGGATGTCAAATATATACTAGACAAATGGATATTTGATGTGATGCAAATATAAGGATGTCAAATATATACTAGACAAATGGATTTTTGATAAACGTTGGTCTACAATGTGTATGACTTAATTTAAGGACAGTGATAATGATAAATTTGTTGTGTATGAAGTGTCTGAGTGATTAATAAAAAAAATTACATTTGTCAATTAACTGTATGATTAGTTTATAAAAAGGTGTTATGCAAAAAAGAGTATATGTATCTCATTGCTCTAATATTTCTGTGTTCAGGGAGAGTCTAAGATCATCGATGTGAACAATCTAAACATCATCAGGAAAAGAGTACGACCACTTAGTAAACAGGGAGACTATGAGTCACGCAAGTTGTGGGAACATGTGACAAATGCTCTGAAGATCGGGGATGTCAATACAGCAACAGAACATAAACACTTTGTAAGTTCTGGGGTCAGTTAAGATTTCACTAACAAAAGTCAACACAAGTATTCTATAATTAAAATATTGTAATTTCTGGGGTTAAGATTTCACTAACACAAGTCAATACAAGTATGCTATAATTAAAATAGAGTGTTAGTTCTGGGGTTTGTAAAGATTTCACTAACACAAGTCAATACAAGTATGCTATAATTAAAATATCAAGGTCTGGGGTTTGTTAAGATTTCACTAACACAAGTCAATACAAGTATGCTATAATTAAAATATCAAGGTCTGGGGTTTGTTAAGATTTCACTAACACAAGTCAACACAAGTATGCTGTAATTAAAATAGAGGGCAATTTAAAGTTGTTGACCAAATCCTTTGAAAAAAAGTATGTAATTACTTTTATGATAAATATTTCTTTTTAAATGATATATTTTAGAATTGTCACCTGTACAACAAAGACAACGTTCATATTGTCATTGCTTCTTTATAGTCATTCAACATATTTTAGTTTCAAAGAATACATAGCTTTATGATACCATATCTACAGGCATATCCACCTGGTGTGGTTAAGTTTTATAATAGTTGGCAACACACTTTGATGCCTCGTGAATTTTTATTTTGTTAGCTGGAAGAAAGACAGAGAGAGGGTGAACGACATCGAAAGGAAACCAATACCGATTTTCCAACTAAAGTAAGTTTACAATTCAAGTTGTTATTGTTTATTTACCTTGAAGTTCCAGTAATTTTGTATTATGTTCATAGGATGTGTTTCATTGAAGATATATAAAATGGTTACAATTTAAAAATCAATATTAATCTGATATCATGTACATTCATGTAAATAAATTTCAAACTGAAAATGAAATTAAAACTTTTATTTTTTTAAAACTCTGATAATTTGGTACATTTACATATAATGGTAATACTAGTAATATCATGTTCATTCTATTCAATCAATGTTTAAATGTTGGAGAACTTGTAATAAAAACTCATTTAGATCTTTTCAAAAGAACGACCTTGTGGGGTTTTTTTCAGTATTTTCATAAAGTCAGTGACATCTGGACATATAACAGTATGTTAGAAAAGGGAAACACTAAAGGAACTGCCTGATACAGAACCAAAGTCATAACAATACCTTGTTATAGTGTTCTACTGATGCATCACTCTGCCAACAGGACCAGTGGGGAATACCTGCCAATTGTTAAGTGTAAGGTCAAATGTATGGACATTCAGATTCATGCGTTTTCAAACTGCCTGTCAAGATGATAAATGGATTACCATCTTGTGTGAAAAGGATATGTGATAATTCAAAAACAGATATTGTCAAAATAATTTCTACTTGTACATAGATATAGAAATATCTTGTGATATGTACAGGAAGGAGCTGGTGATGAAGAAAGGATTGACCTTGTGATTAAGCCTTTCTTGTTAAACTGATGTGATATACACTTCTCAATGTTGTGGATACTTGGTACTATCTTAACTGGTTTTTTATGTGATATTATTGCTGGACAAATACATTATTGTCAAAAAGCTTTGTTGTGAAATGATAAAGGTTTTACCTGATGTGGTGTTCTAACAATGAAAGCCATGTAATATACTTTATCAACAATGGTTGAATCTTTTCTTTATGGGACATACCTCGTAGTTCAATAACTGTGGTGTTGAAATAAGTCTAACACAAATCACAGACAATCAGGACATTTTTCCATATCTGCTGCTGCAGGGTGGCTGTTCTAGAAACACAAGAGAAGTACTGTCAAATCCACACTGGTGTGTTCACATGTTCATATTTGTTAAGTAGAACAAACAATATTGATTGCTTGCATGATATTGATATTTGCATATCTAGATATACAATGGTATGGGACCAGCTGAACAAAAATGGTCTACCTCAGTAAGGAAATGTGATGTCATGGTTGTCATGGTTACACTGATGTAAATGTTAGATACTGTAGGAAAATATATCACATCAATCATAAATGGCATTTGATGATCCCAAAATTTATTCCTGGAATTCTGTATGACTTGTCTCATATATTCTACTTGTATATGTCTCCTATCAGATCGTGGTTCGTGGTGAAGAAGAAGAATCTGGCCTGTCCTACATAGTAGATTGCAATATTGGCCCAGTTCAGTAGGAATTGGCAAAAATATTTACAGTAGACTTATTTATTTGACCTGTTGACATGTTCAAATATAACCAAAAACATGAGAGAAAAAAAGAAAAAAATATGAAAAAAAAAAGAGAAAAACTGCAATTAAGTTGATTTTTAAGTGCAAAAAAAACCTCTGTTACATATCCACTTATATGTGTAATCATTATTAGTGATGTTTCTGAAAAAACATGCTCATATATGATTGTTCTTCTATGATGAAATAAAATTCATATGAAGCATGATGAATGTTACCTCACATGATCATAATATCATCCACTTCTATAAAGCTATAGGGATAAATATGTTATTTCCTGATAACTATCAGCTACATCTTTATCATTAAGCACAGATTAGTTAGTGTCATACTACAGGATAAACAATAGGCTACATGTACCTTCCAAAGTTGATAATTTAATTCTTTATTTGTTACGGACAGATGACAATGGAATCTAATTTCTAGGTGCTATATATCAGTGTGTTATCATTCACCTGTTCAGTTCTGTTTGTTTGGTCATGCAGGAATCAGCTGATATTTCCTTACTACATTTCCTAACTTAAAAAAATCACAAAATTTATTTATAAAATATCTTCTTAAAACAGAAATCATCAAACTGAATATAACACCTGTTTTGCTTGACAACTCTTTAAACTTCCTTGATTGTGGAGGGCTGTGATTGATATTTAAACTGTGACACTGTATTGTCAAATTTAGGTTTTTCAGAACATCACTAAGGTTTCCTTTCTTTATCTAAAGCTTAAATAAAAAATAACCAGACACCAGCTGAATTCCTCAATTTCTTTACATCTTGAATATAATGGAAGTAAAACTGATGAAAATGTGGATATTGTAAGCTGTGCAGTACAAGTATGCCTATACTTTACAGCCTTGTACGATTAATTTGTGCTCACAATTTTACTACAAAGCATATAAGAAAAATTATTTGGCTGTTAATTGTACAAAGTGAGAAACAAATATGCAATTTAATGTATATATATATATATATATTGACTTCAATGGCATTGGTGCAATTCTAGCTATTTACACTTGGAGCTTTGGTGTTAGTTTCTCTGAGGACTGAGAATTGCAAGATAAATGATTTTTTTTCTGTGCTGTTGATCACAAATTTATCAAAAATACTTGTTAAGCTTATATTAGAATACCTAGGGTGCCTTTGTCTGAAACGAAACAAATCTGTTTCTTCATTTTGTTCCAAGAGAGTCAATAAATTTATTTACGTTGACACGAGAAATAATGTTTGTGCATGAGGTATCTTTTTTGAGACAATTAGTATGGTTTGTTCTTCAGGGTATCTTATCTTAGATGAGAAATTTTGTTTGTGCTTCAGGCATCTGATGTGAGATTAGAAGTATTTTTTATATAATTTGATTCAGTTATCAGGCGACACAAGTAGTATGATTTGTGTTATAGATTTATGTGTAGAGGAATCAGGTGAGAGGTTGGCACAGCTTGCTATTCAACATGCCTACTTGTGTACTTCACGCTTTCTTTTTCTGATTTAGTGTCTCTTAAGTTACACTCTGCGTTTTTCTTTTTTACCCATCATAGCATGTGTTAAACTGCCCAGATGACTGCCAATGAATATTTTCAGCCAATTGTAATTCTGATGATGGTCCATCTTTCCATAAAAAAAACCCCTTGCTATTCCCATTTAGTTGAGAAGTACTGGATGGATCATTTTCAAATTTCATGTCAAATACCCTTGGTTCCTTGTGCATTAGCCGACAGATGGACAGCAATATTATGATATTACTACTTTTAGCCTACCTTCATCAGATGCCCTATGTCAGTGGTCTGTCCGTCAGTAAACAAATGTTTGTTATCGCTATTTATTGAGAAGTACTGGAAGAATCTTTATCAAATTTCATATATTGGTTCCCGTTGATCCCTTGTTGTCGTCCCAATTTGATTTTGGTCGGGTCAGAAAGACAAAATGGCTTTCAGGTGACCATATTGGATTTTGCAGGTAATGAGTATCATCCCCATTTCTTCATATCTACGAAAGAATATAGTAAAGAATGTTCCCAATTTTTTTCCCATTTCATTTATGTAAAAATTTTCACTAAACTTTTGTTAACTTTGAGCAACTGGGGTTTTGTCTCGAATACAGGATTAAACACATCAACACCTGGTTCCTACAACAAGTTCAATTAGTTATAGTTAGTTGAAGGGAAGTACAAGAAGATTGAATGATCGACTTATTCCTCCTTGATTTCATTGCTTTGTATATCAGTAAAATAGCTTTTTACCATAATCAATAGTGTGCTTCACCTATTGTAAGTAGCATGTTTTTTCATGATGGGAAAATTTTATGTAAAACATGGATGTTCTTTTATTACAACCAGTTAATGTGTCGCCTGCAGAGCTGGTGGACACTTGGGGATTACTATGTCCGTCGTCACGTGTCGTCGTTATAGAATGATGTTTTGGATGACTACACAGTCATCAGCGAAATGATCAGTGTGAAGTGTATATGGACTGAGGTATAACAAAATTTTCCATCTTATCACAGTATTTTCCTTTGTAATAGAGTTTATAAGATTATACTCCAGTTGAAAAGTCTATTTCACTGTACACTTCAGGTAGAATCATTCAGAAATTGTCTAACTGGCTGTGATACAAGAACATCTATTAAATGGACATGTTATGCATGTACATTACCAACCTGAGAAAATGTTTGGACATATATTTCGAACACTTTTGCAGACCCATTGTTTTGTACTGTGGTATGCGTTGAATGGATGGATGTTAAATGCCTGGAATGCCTCACTTGTATAATGTACAATGCTAAAAATGTGTAAGCGGACATAATAAAATATAGAAACTGTGATAATTGAAACAAACCAGTTTTAACTTATCATTTCATTTACCATATTAAGTGTTGATAGCTTGGTTATAATTTGTGTTAAAAAGTACTATCCAATTGCATGCCTTGTTTAAGTCTGGAGACACCAAATATGCACAATATTAGTAAGAAAACGTTCAAGGTTCTAAGGATAAAGTCAAATAGTAAATTTTACACTTGTGCTATGATACCAGAGTCAAGGCCAGATTGAACTAATTTTTGTGCACTGTATCTATGTATACAACATGTACATTTCCTGTTCTATCAAAATGTCTAAGCGTTTCAGATTTATAGAAAAGAAAATATTATTTGAATGGATGTTCTGCTGTAGATAGAGGGAAAGTCAAACTTAATGCAAAATTGTTTAATTCGGGATCCTTTGAAGCAGACAAGTTCATTAAGACTTCATATAATAAGATGAGCAATAAAGAAAGACGATAATGGCAAAGAGAATTCAACTGATTGGGGGATAATTCAGTGAACGAAAAAAACACTACATTATACAATATGTAGTTCAATGGGTACATGACTATAAAACTCAACTAAACTTCAAAATTTTTTATTCAGAAAAATATAACTATTTTGCATTGATATGGAAAAGTACTATATACCAAGGAATGTTTGGCCCATTTTATTTTTGCCTCTTTTTTTAATTTAATTCAATTTAAGATGGGTGAAAATTTGTTACACTTATATATAACCACTTTATGTATCCCTCAGAGGGTGAAACGAACATGTGGTGAATTCCTGTATAATGGTATACAAGCAAAAATAAGGTTGGGTGAAACTATCCCAATATACAGTGGACAAACAAAGTGTAAAACATCTGTCATACAAAACAAATATTTGATATAAATACTCATAGCTTATTTACATATTATATCTATGAAGTAAATCTGCAAGTCACATAGCAGGAGGTTTGTGTTGTGCTGTTTACAAGCATCTATAAATGTCCAGTTTTATGGTACAGATATATGAGGTACTGACAAATATGTTTTCATTCAATTCGTTTACAATAAAGTGTACCATTATTTTATCAATACTGGGGAAAATGTGTCCAATGTCACCAAAAGAGGTGATCTTGTCCAGAGATCTGGTGACTTAAAAGAGAATGTGGAAGTCTGAAAACTCTAGTTGAGGATAAATGAAACTACTCATGATAATAAGGTTCCACCAGTGGCCAAAAAAAACCCCCAGAGAACCTAGGAGTGTTGTGTAAACAAGTTATCTGATCAACAAACCCTGAATGACTTCTATATTCCGAGTCCCATGTTAAACAGTGCCCCAATCAAAAGCAAGACAATCCTTTTCTGGAGGATGTATATGACTGGTGGAATGACAATGTCATTTTTCATCAGCTGGACACCCAGAAGTATGCAGGGTGATTGTGCAATAGAGAAATCAGGTGAGAGCATCACAGTAGATTTATAAATTTATTCTGTTATGGGTTTGGCTGTTACCAGGCATCTTCTGGACAACTAACTAAATATTTCTACACCATAAGTACACAAAATGTGAGCACCTTATTCTATAAATAGTAAAAGCAGTATTATGAAGTAATTATTGAAAGCGTTATACATAAATGTAATCTCCATATATTCATGATATCAATTCCATTGCATATCACATATCCATCACAGTTTGTAGTAAATAAAAAAAAAGGATTCATATCCAGTGCTTTTGAGTGCTGTAATCAAGCTTGCCATTCATTGGGGATGTATCAATATCCATAATCGATATAATAAGTAGACTGGACTTACATAGAGAGTAATAGAAAAGTGTATATATATATAGAAGTTTCAGAACTTCAGCATAATAAAGGGGTATACTTCAAGGAAGATCCATTTCACTACATTAGTGAATAAATTATTTACGTTATAGAGTGCCCACATTTTGTGTACTTTTGGCTCTTTATGGGAAAGCAAAAATACCCCTGAGTGTTAACTTGCATAGAGTATTAAATATAATGGTGGTTTGGCTGCCTTTCACTAAGGTGTTCGAGGTTCGCTTTACAGAACGGGAACAGGTAAGGTGTCACCTGCACAACCATGAGGGCTTTCCTCTGTACTCTGGTTTTCGCCCACAATACATCTAGGCCAACAAAATTGATTAGTATAAGTTGAAAGAACTTGTTTCACAGCTGTTGTAAGATAGATAAAATTGATATTTGAATTAAATATATCACATCAGAGCTAGGTAAAATTCAGTTAGATTCACAAAAACCTTCATATACCACATATGTATTAGTATCTTATATGATGTAAGCTTTTCTTTATTCAGATAAAACAAATCAAATGTCTTGTTTAAGAAAACGGATCCTCCATTGAACAAAAAATTATCGTAATTTTGTAGATTTAGGTCTGAAATAAAACACTCAAAATCAACACCACGAGAAAAATAAATCAGCTCATGATATGCTTCTTTTCACATTTTTTGTTTGTTTTAAATTTAAAATGTTTGCCATAAAAATCATAAAAAACAAATGTAATCACTTATTTGGGAAACTTCAAACAATTCCATTATTAAAATAAGTCCTGCACAAAAACTTATGGCACATTTAACACTAATATTGTTGGCAAGCAAACTAAAAGGTGATATCCTGTCAGGATTTCTGGCCACTAACAACTCTCAACAGCTGTAGTGTGTGCTTGATGACTTCCTCCTCATGGGCTCTGTGTACCAGATGACCTCCTCTCTCAAACAGCAGCACTCGTCTGTAGACGGTGTCATCATCTAAAATGGAAGGATGCTGCGAGTGTACAAGGTTCATTTATTGGCTTTTTTTTTTAAATAAATGAAATTCAATGTTTTTTTTATGCCTGGTATATAATAGAAGCAAATCTATATTTAGATCATTGAGTGCAAAGATGGAATACTGAATAAGACTTAGTGTTTGGTAACTCTTACTTTTTGTGCTTACATTACATGGAATCTAATTACCTTATCATTATGTGCAAGAGTATCAATGTATCAGAATACATATATGTCAATATGTGTGTGGTTGCTGGTAACAGGTCAGTTATTTGTGTTCATTCAGACATGATCAAATACCCAGTAATATAGCAAATAGATGACAATTGTTGAGAAATTTATTGTTCTCATTAATTTAATTCAATCACCAGAATAGTGAAATTCATCTTACATTTTCCTACATCTTCACCTGATATCGCAACATCATTCTTGTGCTCAGTTATCTCCCCTGCTTCAATACCCATATGATATGCCATTTCCATGCCAAAGTTCCATTCTCCAATCTTGTCATTTCGTGTTATGGCCATTACAAATGGGTGTTTTCTTGCTGCAGCAGTTTCAGCATAGGCCTGCATCTAAAGAGAGTAATATCTTACAACTAGACTGAACATTTAATATAAAAGTTAGTTAGAATTTACATGATAAAAAAAAAAAAAGAAAAAAAAATATTACCTTGTCAAAATTAGGATATCTCACTGACTCCACAGCAATTGGCAGTGATGGAAATGCGTCTTCCTCCAACACAAATCCTACACAAAACAAACACATTAGTGTCGGGATAATCCATCAAAACAATAGTCTAACGAGGCTTGGATTGTTTTCCTTTTCTATTAAAAGATAATGTGACCCTTGAATCCCTGAAATACAGACTCAATGTATAAATATTACCTGTCAATCTACTTTAATCAAAGTGCTTTAGGAATAACTTTAGTGATTAATTGATCCAGGATGGGACATGGTAAGGCAGAGCCCCATACTTGGAATAAAATGGCAGAAAATAAACTTATTTTCAGAGAAGAAAGGTAAGGTTTATATTTTATTGTCTTATGAAGGTAATAAATAATACATTTATGTTTTACTCAATGCCAGGGCTATCTCAGTAAAACATCTGCTTGACTCCTGGGCTCTGAAAACAAACAAGTTCTATCAATGGTTTAGTTTCCTGCCCATTACTTCTCTACGAATTATCAGTCTAATTCTACAACGGTATTCCTTGGGTACCCCTGGATTCTTGGGATGGCAAAGATGTTTTACTGGAATAACCCTCAAATGTGAGCCTATATTAAGTCAGAATGCAACACCCAAAGCCACTGTAAATATGGATGACTTACCTAAAACCTTGTAAATGAAGGGAAGACATCTTAAGAATGTTGAGTGGAGAAAGGAGGTTCTTAAGAGCGCTGCTAGAAGTTTGACTGCCACAAATGGACGAAGAGATCTGTAGATTAAAAAAAATAATTTTCACAAAAGAAATTTGTACTGACATGTATTATTTCATGTTAGCATGAAGGTTTCTCAAAGATCTCACCAAAGGGACTTGATATTGTATGGTTTAGTCTACCAGTACTGTATATCTCTAGATACTCTCTATCATCACCATCCAAATTGTCCTATGAAAATACCCTGGAAATGTATGAACCTAATTACATACATTATTATATATAGTTTATAATTGAAATATTTTCATTGACATAGCCTTGTACCATTTATTACTGTTGAATATATTTTGTAGAAAGTGAATATTACTAATGTTGAGGTACGAACCGTTTATCAAACTTTCATGTCAAAATTTGTAGGAGTGATTCTCTTCAGAAATATATTTGTATCTGAAAAAACATTTACAGGGAAAGTCAACAAACAGTAGTTTGACAAAATAGAAGTACAAAGACTAACCTCTTGCTAACAGTATTATTTCATGATAGTGTGCAAAGATCACCATGTGAGGCAAATTTTGGGGCCTGTCCCTTTATGCAGACAAACCTGTTCATCAGCACTTTAAATGTGACATTTCAAGTGTAAACCAAGATAGAATTGAAAATATTAATACAGATTTCAAGACTTATCAGAAAGCAAAGTAAGACATGTAGTTCCAATCCAACTGGTTAAACAGATTAGCCATATGGAAGGGATAGTAAGTAATAAAAGAAAAGGAAGCAAAACAAGCTGAAACTTCAACCCACTTCACCATTAACAAATTATTTCAGAGCCAGCATAGTCAACAATACCCTCATTATCAGTATCAAAATCAGGATCATCAGCACCAATGTGTAGCTTCTCTCACTCATGCAGTGACAAAAAGACATATATAGAACCACCAACACTAGAAAGAAGGAAATACATGTACAGACCTTTGCCAGCACCTGTTTCAGACCAAATTTCCCTGGATCAAATGGTCTGTCAGGATCAGCAACCATGATCTGTGGGAAAGAACCACTGAACAACTAACTGGAAAGACAACCTCTAAATGTACTGAAGGTTGATAAGTAACAAACAATGGACCTTCAGTAGGACACAATGTCTGAATCTGCTCGGAAGACAAGAGACTTCAACAAACAATTGGTACTAATGTTTGATTAGAGGATGCAAGTGACCACAGAGAAGGCATCTGGACAATGATTGAGCTACTTCAGGAGGCGCCTGATTGGTGGAAGTACAATGTCCCTAACAGGACTAAAAGTGGAGGTAAAGTGAAAAAGCTTTGTATTTCATACTAACAAATTACATTGCTTCACTAACAAACAGCTAGATTCTGTATTGTTTTTTTTAATGAGAGAATATATTAACGTTTTCTCCAACCAGATATTGATCATCCTATAATCAATATGGGCTTACAAAAATCTACATCATGTTTACCAAGTTTAAATATATAGGTTCTACAACTATAAAAGTGAAATAAATCACAAGAACTTTTTAGCCATCTCTCAATTAAAATTATATATTCTGAACAATTCTATAACTCACCTATGGTATCTTTTCGAAAGAGGGTTTAGAAAAACAGATGATTTGACGAGGTTAGAGTCAGCTGCGACTTTGTAATTCAGCCAAGTACCTGCACTGTGTCCCATCAGCACATCAACTCTGTCAGAAAAACACACTAAATCAGATGTTTCTTAATCTAATCTTATAGAATATTTTCTCACAAATGTCCACAAAAAGATCTCATAACTAATACCAACTTTTGACGCATATGTGAATATAATTTAGTGAACAAAGCAAATAAAAAAGAGGAGGACTCCAGGACCCAGGTGGGCCAATTGCATATTCTACATAAAATAGAATATCCTATGGGCCTTCATGGCTGTAGGAGTTGGTGCTCTTTTTTTTTTGTTTACTACTCTTTAAGAGACCTCTATATACCACTAGATATCCTCCTAAAGCCTAGAAGATGAACCTTAACACTCATATGAATTTAGCAGGTTGTTGGTTCTCGAAATGAAGATTTTTCTTGCTGGATTAGTGAACCAAAAACAGTATCCATTCATGCAGTTCAGGTGAACTTTGTCATTATTACCTTGTGATATCTAGAGTGTCCAGGATAGTTGTAAGCATTTCATACTTCCCTTCTGTGCTATGGTCAAGGTGATATATATCTTGTCCCAAAAGTCTGCTTTTTCCAAACCCTGAATATTTGACATATATACTGAAAATAATTAATGTCATAAATACTATCAAGCCTGTAGAACATGATTCTTATCCATGTACATTACTATCTTCTACAAATATTATTTTTTCTAATCAATTGCAAACATCAGTACAGATAATCTTATTTCATAAATTTAGGAAAAAGTACCATCAACAAAGTTACATTACATAAATATATACAACTGGCCACCAATCCACTAGTGTTCTTATGAATTTTTATTATTCAATGTTAATACATTTTTTTTAATTACAAATGCTACGTTCCACATATACCCATTGAGATTTCAGTATTTTTTCAATTGCTATACCTGTAGTATAACTCACAATCATTTATTCAATTTTAACAGTAACAGGAATGTTTTAACAATCGGATACAAAGTTGAAGACCTGTGATGGGTATACTATTTTGTATATTTTTGATAATTTATGTCTACCTGGGAAATCTAACCCTACCACCCTGATGCCATGTCCTGCAAGTTTTCTCCCTATAACGTCAAAGTCCTGGGACGATCCAGGTACTCCATGGACTGCAACAACAAGTGGAGTGCTGGCTGTCATGGTTGATGGGCATACTTCCCAAACACCGATATCCAATGTCATCCTCTCTCCAGGAGTTCGGGTTTGGAATAATACAGGTAATGTATAGTACTGTTCATTGTCTATAGTGGTGGTGAGTTCTCTCACTGGCTGAACATGTCCAGTCTGGAACCTGCTGCACCTGATGTTGCCCATTGGTAGCACTCTCACAATTGCAGGCAAAGCTGCAGAGATTCTTAACATCATCATCTTTAACAGCTGTACATCACATTGTGTTCTTAGAAAACACTGAATCTAAAAACCATCTGGAAATAAACAGAAATAACATGTACATAATAGACACAGAAGATATACCTTCATCATTAGTCCTAATGTTCTATTATCAACTCTCTTAAAAATATATAAAAAAAACAGTGTTGATGAGGTTACATGCAGACTAGAATATCAGTAACACATACATGGTCAGTACAACCTCAGGATCATTCAAGGAAAGTATTAACTAAATCCCATTTGTGAAAATGAGAAGAAATATGAGTTGTGTGTTGTTCAGGAAAACCATGATTGCATAAGCATGTTTCCAAATGGCTACGATAACTGGTAATCCAAATCTTTTGACCAGACCAAAAAAATAACATCCTGTTTTCCTTTTCCTAAAAAAACCTCCACCATTCTTTTGCTTTTTTCTTATCCATCCCGAAATATCACAAGAAAAACAAAGGACCAAGGGAAGGATCCATCCAGTTCTTCTCAAAAACAAAAATAATAGAATTAACTTTAAAAGTGACCATACCCATTCCAGGGTGCCTCGGTTTCGGTATGAGATATGACATAAGTTAAAACAATATCCTCATAAACCTTGAATGCATTCAAATTTACCTTATCGAAACTAGATTTATTTAATAAAACTGTGGGTAAAGGTGTATCAAATCGATATCCCTATTTTATTAGGTATAAGAATATGTATATCCAAACTCCAATTTTAAGAATATTTCAAGATGTGCACAAATATTGGATTTACAGTGCTGTGTTTATAAAGAGGTGTCGTAACACTCTTTGAATCCCGTAATCAATCCCGGTATATGTATGAAGGGAAGTAACTCCTTATATCTGTATTCGTTTTTGTCAAAGTCCTAATATATCCAGGTCGCGCCATAAATGTTTTTAAGATACCAGTGTTTATTTATAGTGTTGTATGTGTCTAAACTCTGTACACTCTTAATTTCCAAATGTAACTCCACCGGGAGGTGCTACTTCTAAGGTCATCTCAACATCTTGGGGACCGACAGGTCTAAAAATAGCCCTAATCTGATTGGTTGATAATTAGGTTTCTGGAACACCCCATTTTACTGTTTGTTTGACCGGTATTTAAAATAAAGTAAAAATAATAACACAATCCGTTATAAGGTTGCATTATATGCAGATGCGTAAACATACATTTCTGCGGTAGGTCTTGCTGTCCCGTCTGATGAAATTCGGCCTCAAAATACTTTTCGGAGCATCTCTAGACTTTTCATTCGAAACACAAGCAGTAATTTCCGAATGGAACAAGAGGCCTAAAAACTGACAGAGTTCAACATAATTTTGTCTGGTGTTTGGCCTACACCAACGTAGCTTTACCAGTTGACAAGGAGCACCACAAAGACAACAAAAACCCAGGTATGCTATCGATCAAATAGGCCTTTCATATTGTCTCGTTTGATGACACATTCAATATGTCTTCGAGATTTAAAGTTTGGGAAATTTCCTATGGCCGAACTAGTGATAACTATCACGTAAACCAAATTTTGGATTTGTGCATACTGCTGTTGATCTAGGTCAGCTCTCATTATTTTGATGTTTATGTATCTGTAAACAGATGACAATTAATATCTATTCGAATTATTTTACCATAATCTAGGTTTCATATTTTCGATGCAATCGCTCGGGCTACACTCGTGACCGATCGATTTCATTTGTTCATCACAGCAACAACATTAACAGGTTATCGTCACAGGAGCTACATAGAGAATACATGCTGGTCAATGTCTTCAAATATAAGCTGCATTTTGGCTCGGGACAGACAGACACTTTTGTCTTTTTTCACACTACCTTAATTCAGTTTATATAATCAGACACTGGCCATGTATTCTATTTATCCTGCAGCATTGATTGAAAATCAGACTATTGAAACTTAAATAGTTTTGTTGTTCAATCTGTGTTTACCTGACACTGATGTAATGATGAATTTTGCCCGATGATGAATGCCAAAATAATTGCACTGCATGGAAACATAGTTCCAAACTTCTTCAGAGATAACAACAATATTTATGAATTTTCATATATCAACTTGTTCATTACAACATGTAAAATCGCTTATTTCTACTGTTGGGAATCGGTTGAAATTTCCTGATTGATCATCAACTTTATGTAACCGATCGATGATCGATTAAAATCGATTAATTCTTAATTGTCTGTTTTGGATATTATTCAAGTCTAAATACGTATTTTGTGTAATGTTTTAACAGCAATTCAGGTAATTACTAAAACTGTTGTAAATATACCATCTTTCTGTGTGTTTGTTATTTGCTTATTGCACAGAATACTTTTTAATAAAAACAAATGTTGTTTTATTTTCTTGATAATTTTACTAATGTTGAAAATAATTTCAATATTTAACTACTTTATTTTCATACATCACGATGATCAATTACAGATTCTTTACTCGATTAATTGATCAAACATCTCAAACAAGTGATACTCGAATAACTCGATTAATCAGAACAACACTTCTTATTTCAGCATTTTATTTTTCATTACATAACAGTTAAGTAAAGTTAGAGAATAATTCTGTCAAATTACCACACATGCTAAAATACAACTGTTTTCTGTCACTGCCAAATACAGAAAAAAATATATGGCAGGCATATTCCAACAATGGTGGTGTCAGCTGCAGGATAAATGTATATTTATAGCAGTGACATTGAAAGTTTTATGGGACCAAAAATTTATAAAACAAATTTACTTATTAGGATACTCTGTTTTTACACCTTATAAATAGTTGCCAATCCCAGTTCATTAACTGACAAAATCCAGAGAATAAAAAATAAATCGTAGATGAAAGGTAGAATACAGAATTTTTTGGTGCTGTGTATACATACATGCTTTCATCATAAGCTGCAGGGCTCAGACTTCGGTGTATACAACATACCCAGGAGGCCTTGCATAATATTTGTAATTCTAGAGCCACAACATGAAACTCGACAAGATTCTAACCATGTAACTTCAACCAATATTATAATTGTCAAACTTATATACTGAAATGCTACGACAAGGATCTGCACATAAATCTGTCAAGTGCCCCTGGACCTTGTCTCCAGGAGACTTGCTTTCTCAGTTCTTGAATTCATCCAGTAGAGATATTTTTTACCTAATAACTAGGTACTTAGACATAAGATCTGTATAGCCTAAGGGCTTCTAGAGTTAGTAATAATTAGTTCCTTAAGAATATGTCAATGAACAATTGAAATATTTCATAGTATTAATTAATACACAATTACTGGGCATACATGTATAGAAAACATTGCTCTGATGTCTGATCCCAATCTGCGTAACATTATGGTAGTAACTTGGGCCCCAACAGACTAAACAATATTTTGTAAGAAGTGTTATTTGACTACAAAATTGATTACAACTTTATTTCTGGGCCTTAATAACAGATGCTAGAACTAGCTGTTGCCAGCTTTTGGTTTTACAAACTAAATATATGTATATATATACAATTAAACAGTATTTAGTATGGATTTGAGGGATAGGGTTTTCAAATATAAATATGGGCCATTTCCATTCACTTATTGTAATGATAAATTTTGGTTTCTCTACTGTACAATGGTCAGACAATACATTCCATGCAAGTGATCTTATATTTATTGTTCAATGATTTTTGAGATTTAGATTTTTAGAACCCACCATATTTCTTGTTATTGGGACTCATCAAAATTTTGGAATCAGTGTTCTTGCCAGACTTGCAAGAATAATCTTACACAAATTATTGTGATTAAGGTAATCCTATAGACCATCTATGTCATTTATCTTACCTCAGCAAATTTCATTTCAGATAATGCTACTCACTTGTCACTGTTTGAATTTCAAGTTACGGACGAACCAGGCCCTCGTTTTTACATCTAGATCTGGTGAGTATTTACAGACAATGTGAGACTTTAATTTTACATCTAGATCTGGTGAGTATTACAAGCTATCCAAGCCTTCAGTTTTACATCTAGACTTGGTGAGTATTTACAGACAAACCAAGGCCTTAATTTACACGAAGATCAGGTGAGTATTATGAACAAACAGGATCTTAATTTATTTCTGGTTAGTTCTGTTGTTGTTGGTCTTCTTTCTGATTAAAGTGATTTCATGGTTTAGGTTTTTAGTGATTTTTTAGGTCATCTGACCCGAACTATAGCCATCGTGCTTCGTCCATTGTCGTCCATCGTCGTCCGCTGTCCGTCGTCCGTAAACCTTTCATTCAAAAAACTTCTTCTCAAATACTAGAAGGCCTAGGGGGCTAATACTTGGCCCATAGCATGCTGGCATGGAGCCCTACAAAGTTTGTTCAAATTAATGACCTTGAGCAAAAGTCCAAGAGTGCTGATATTGGGCCTGTAGGATGCTTGGAGGAAGGGCTACCAAGTTTATTCAAATGAATAAAGCCCACTGTTTTACCAGCAGACTCACTGTTGTTAGAGTTTGGCTTGCTTTTTGTCAGATGACCGTTAAGGCCCATGGGCCTCTTGTTTATTATTGAGTTTATATATCAAGTTTACTTCTTATGAACGATGCCATTTGTGTTTCACTGAACTCTTTATTTGATAATGAACAGCCTGGATATGTACATTTTTTGTGTCATATATAATAACGCAAATGCACAAAACACTGTCACCTATAAACAGAAAGGCCTTCTAGCCTGAACAGGACGAAACAATGTTGGTGATTACTGTCAATTTTTCATAATTATGTCCCCCAAACGAAGTTATTATTATTTATATTATTCTTATATCTTCCTCTTTCTTCCGCTGGTGAGGTTTACGACACGTTTCTCATAAACTATTGCATGGAATTTAACAAAACTTTACACACATATTGATACATGCGTGGTGGAGTGCAGGCCACTTGAATTTTTCCAGTTGGTCATCTGAGTGGTCAGCTGTGGTCAAAATTTTGCCAAATTTTAGATATTGTCTGATTTTCGTGAAAATTGGTATATATGTATTAGGTGGCACTGTAGGAGCAAAATGGCGTAGTCCATGTTTTGCATGACTGCAGGTCTGATTATTGTGATCATTTACTGCTGAAGGGGTCGTTTGTGGGACATTTGTAATGGTCCTCATTACAATTAGTACTTGTTCTGAATTGACTTGGGTTATCAAATAACATTTGCCACCCCCATAACAAAATCTGGAGCTGAAAAACCACATGTAACTTACTCTGTCACTACTTGCTCTATCATATCTGTCTACGATCAAGTGTTTGTGTTTACAACATTAATAGCCTCATTTTCAAAAATATTGCATAATGTTATCAGCACTAAATTTTAGAGGGGTTTCCTTAACCAAAGAGGTGGTGAAGCTAGTCAACTGCAAATACCAGGATAGCATAAAAACATAAATGGAAGTTAAAAAATAAACATACAACCAATCAGGAAATTGTAAATTAACAATTGAACAGTTGCAAGCTTATATGATGTTGATAGATGATTCTGCCGAAACATGTGTAGTTAACAAACTTTTAATAAAAGCCAGAAGTTGGGTTAAGATTAAGGTATGACATCCAGCAATCTTTCTAGAATTTTGACAAGGTTTCTTGTAGTTAATTATAAACTTATTTGTTGAAAGAGATTATCCATAAGATCACTAAAATCTAAGTCAGTTTAGAAATAAAGAACAAAATGAACAGGGAGCAAGTATCGTCAGCAACAGAAAATGGCAAATGAAGCAGCCTTACTTCAGGCAAATGGTGAAAATTGGCTCTGTTTCCGCTAGACTGCTATTCGTAAAGAAATTATGTTGGAAGTTGCATGAGCTAATATTCAGACATGAAAACATTGATTTAATGTTGTAACCACTTTATTTAAGGGTATTATTTTTTAACCCTTTTTCAACTGTTGGTTGGTGGGTGGGGGAATCCTAATGTTATGCTGTTGTTTGTGATCTCACGTTATATGTGCTGGTAAATGTAGAGGTGGGTATGTGCTAATGCAGAATGACAGCACTAAGACATAAAATGTTTATTTGTCATTCAATTTCATGCTTACATCATTACTGTCAGACACATGTATTAGCGTGATCCTCATGTAGGCATAAACTTTGAAAATTAATAATGTTGCATGCTTTTCTTATCCTATAGAATGAAATTTGTCAAGTCTTTGACATTCCTTCTATTTAACATCTTACTTTGTATATGTATAAAGTATTTGAGCTTGGATCTCTCTATAAATATCATGTGATTGTCAATATTTTGTGTTTTGTTTTGTAAGGATTTATTATTATCAGCATTGGTCATGTAAGTTCAGTGTTTTGTCATTAAATCCTGAACGGCTATATACACCACTTATAATTAATATATTGTTTATTTCTTTCTCTATAGATATTGCAGGTCTGACGAAGGAACATTACCAATATGATTTTTTCCAGAAGAAACTGGATGAAATCGAGATAACAGATGGAGGTTTATCACAGGTAGGTGAATGAAGACAAACATATTGTAGTTGTGCCCATCTGAACTACTCTGCACGAAATCAGTTTTGCACATCAGCATTAACAGTAATGCTGCATTGTGAAAAAATCGCAACTGATAAATAAACATGTTTTTTGATAATTGTGTCTATAATATATATGTAGTTTTAGTGGGCTTTAAGTTTTACATTTTATCCTTGATGTCTTCCTTTCTCATGTGAAATTTAAATTTTCTTTTGACACTGATAACAACAAAAGTGATTTTGACATTTAAAGTTTGCTGTCAATATTTGTTGAAGTACTGGAGTGATTTTTAACTGTGTATACTAGGTTTCCCTCTGTGCCTTTTTGCCCATATTCAGTGTTCAGAGAAAATTAAAGGATAGAAGAAAAAACAGAATGGGAAAGATTAGACTTATGAAGACTGTATTATGGTGGATGCTATAAGCCATCTGGCATGTCTTGTTTATTGTTTTATTTTTTAAGAACTGAAGAAATCATTAATCTTATTGCATAGTGTCTCAAAATATTTCCTTCATGTTTAAAAAATTACAGACATGATAAGTTACTTTAAGGATATGTACATACTTAGCAGGAATTAAAAATCAAGCTTATTTACAAGAAATACAAAAACATTTTTCAACCTAAAGCAAGGACATAGTCATCAAGATCCTCTGCCCATGTTCATTTGTAAAATATAGACATTTAAAGTGAGCAACATGGAAAACAGGAAAAGATATCGGCCAATCAGATCACAGCAGCCTTATCAAATATGCACAGAATGTGCCAATAGTCACACTTAGACAAGGGATTAAGGTAACAATCTACCAAGCAAGTCTTATCATGATTTATTTTTTCCTTTTAAAGCTAATGTGCAGAAAAGAATCAGTAAGAGCGCTGAAAGATATCGGCCAATCAGATCACAGCAGTCCCCTAAAATATTCATAGAATTTCCTGATATCAAACCAGAACAAGGACTTTAGGTATTAAGTATGCAAAGTAAATTTGTACAGAAATCTTATCATTCCTTCAAAAGATAATGTGCAGAAAGATTTCCAATAAAGTGATCGAAGAAATTAGTCAATCAGGTCACAGCAACCTAATTATTTATTCTGGGAATTTGCCATTAATCGAACAAGGACAGGGGATTAAGGTGATAAGTGTACCAATCAAGTTTCTTCAAAATCCTACCAGTCCTTCAAAAGATATGTGGAAATCACAGCATTCTCATTATTTGCGGAATTTGCTGTTAATGGAACTTGGACAAGGGATTATAGTAACAAGTGTAACAAGCAAGTTTTATCAAAATCTGACCAATCCTTCAAAAGATATCATTCAGAAAACAGCATCCAAGAGTGATAAAAAATATCAGCTGATCAGGTCACAGCAGACTCATTAAATATGTGCAGAATTTGCTGTTAATTGAACTTGGGCAAAGGATTAAGGTAACAAGTGTGCCAACCAAGTTTAATCAAAATCCTACCAGTCCTTCAAAAGATTTCATGTGGAAGGCAGCATCCCAGACTGATTATAGAAATCAGCCAATCAAGTCACATCAGCGTCATAAAGTGTACTTAAGATTTGCCATTAATTGAACATGGGTAAGGGATTAAGGTAACAAGTGAACCAATCAAGTTTCATCAAATCCTACTAGTCCTTCAAAAGATATCATGCGGACGGATGGAAGGAACCTATTTGAATATCCCCTACCAACTTTGTTTGATGGGAATAGAAAGGGTTAAAAAATTATAATGTAGAATTTTCAGAGCTTTCATGGAGTTTTGAAGGTTACATTGATTTCATCAAAGTTTTAAGACAACATCTTGGATGCCCAGAATTTTTGAAATACCATTTATGAATTTATTGATGAATTAAAGTAACGAGACTTTGAAGGGCTGCTCTGTTTTGTGTAGTATCTTCAGTAGTGTAGATAACTGTTCCAGGTCACATGTACAGTTGTTATCAGGTACATAGTACACACTTTTGTAGAATACCCAGGTGTATCATTTGTTACAAACACTCCATAATACAAGGAGCCCCTGTCAATACCTGTAAATGTCAAGGTTATCCTAGCTTTACCACCAGGAAGTTCATCAGCTAGATCAGGATGTGGTATAAAAGTTGTCACTGTGAGTCTGTGTGAAAGAAAATAGATTTAAAGAATACTAGGATATTTGTTTTCATTCTGTAGTAAGTAAGTACAACCATATACATTCTAAAGATTTACCAGGTCAGCAGTTTCATAATATACAAATTCAAGTTGTATAACAGATTATCATTTTATTGGTGTGATGCTATATGTTTAATTTAACTCTGTGTTAAGTCAATTAACCCCTTGTACCAGTTCAATCTTTTCTGGCTGTCTTGATGTTTATAAGTATACATTGATACAATTATATTCATGAACTAATTTAGTAAATTTAATTATTTAACTCACTTGGGGGTCTGAATATTTACACGTTCATTTTGTATTTAAATTTGATAGTGTTGATATTGTTATATAGATATTGCTTGTGTAGGCTACAGCTGTCAGGTCATAAATGTTTAAGTACATGTCAGTGCCAGCCAGCTCTAGAACAATGCTATATCTATTTTTAACCCCATTGCTATATAATTATCTCCTTAGATAGGTAAAGTTTCAAACAGTTGGAGAGCTATTTTATCAGAACAATGTTATCTACAATATCTGCCCTTTGTATCCCATTCTCTATCTTCAAAATTAATTTTCATTTTCTGAAACCTGTGTAGTTTGCTTTATAAAATTGCTAGCAGATTGTCATACCAGCTTCTATATTTTTACCTAGCTTATACTTCTATAGTATTACTAATCATGAAGGAATAAGACGACGGTAAGCAGCTTGCTAGATTAAACAGTATACCTCTAATCAGCACTGCCTGATTCTCATTAGAAAGAGATCAATTTGATATAACCCAAACTGTAGACAACAGGAAAAGCTTGAGTCCAGGAAATCTTATCCAAAGACTCCTAAGGTCATTACGTCACTGCTAATCTTTGCTGAGTATGATTTCACTGTCCTTGTTATTGACTTTAATTTTTTCTGTAATTTAAAGAATTGTCGTCCCCTTTCCAGGAACAGTCCTACTTGTTCCACAAGCGACAGTGTGGTGACTGGGTGTTACATCGCTGTCTAAGCTGTGGAATTGACACTCATGCAGTTTGTACTAAGAACAGACCTCCCAAAGTACTGGTCAGTGATATGCTTCAGGTAATAATCAGCATCTTACAGCTGCTTGGTACAGTTTTGTGATTTTGTTTTTGAAGACATTTAAGTAACTAAACACTTGTCTGATATGTAAGACATGAAATACTGAAAAAAGTGATGTTCAGATTAGAGTAAGGTTGAATGTTGTTTGATAAAAAATTCCAACGAAATCTTTTTATGAGTTTCTACGTTGGTGAGCAATACAGACCCGTTGTCATTAATGACCAGTCTTGGTACTGTGTCTTCTTGGTTATTAATATTAGAATTTGAAATTAAAAAATTGCAAATTCAGAAGTATCATTTGAGATTATGAATGGACACACCGGTATTGAATCAAACATAGCAATGTTTTCATTTTATTTTACAGACAGATTCACTGGTGATAGAGAGGCTTCATCAGTCACAGGACTTCTCCCAGGTGTTTGGTATTGTCATGACAACGCCGGAAACTGATATCCATTCGGGCAGCATGCCAGGTATAAAAGGCTTTTTCTTTAACCTCTTTTGAAATTTATGTCCAGATGCTATTTATTTAATTTATAATTTGTTGTACATATTATTTGTCATATATTTGCAGATATCCTGGAAAGTAATGTTATACATGATAAATTTTCAGCTATTGATATTTCCAGCCATTTTAATAACTTAACCATATCAGACCAAATCTTGTTACATTATCCTCTTTATGTTACACATACTTGTTTCGGGGTTTATTGTATATACTCAGTGAATCTTTCAATTCATTCCACTCCAAACTTTATGAAAATTTGATATTTAAAATATCTTTGGAAAACAGAAAAGGAATTGGTAAGAAACAACATTGTAGTATTTAGATTATATTTGGGACAAAGGAGAAACGATAGAAGGTAATTGAATCAAGGTTAGTTAGGCTTAAGAACAACAGGGCTGGTCAACATTTACAGATGTGGCAAAAGTTATGTGATTGTTTCATATCAGATCTAACGTATACATCGATAGCTGTGGGCCTTTTACAGGAAATTTAAGTAAAGCTAGGGTCTGATTTGAAAACCCTCATAACTTCTTGAATAGATGTTGTGATGTTCTTGGTATGTCAATTAATTTGTCCATTCCTTACTAGCGTTTTACATGAAGTGAAAACAGAACAGATATTTAGAGACATATGATTGCTTCTGGTTGTCATGTTAAGTACATTTTGTAATTAAGATATGAACTTTGAACTTTATATGTTGCAAGAAAAAACAACAAAAAAATACCAACAAGTCAACATAATCATAATCCAAGCTTAAATTCAATTAAACTAGAGCAAGATATGAACAAAAGAAAGATTTACATAGAGACTCCAAAAAAGTACAAGGAGAATAAGACCAGGTGTTCTGGGAGTTGAAGCATCTGCTTCATCGATGACACCAGTCATGTAAACCTTGGTCCATTCAAATATATAATGTCACATTCTCGTATCAGAACAAAGTATACATTAATGGAACTAACAGACAAACTAACCAGCATCAAACATGTCCAGCTTCATTTAACACTAAGAAGATATATGTATGTGTGTATATTAAGTATATTTTAAATGATTTTAGATTCGTCTTCCCGTAACTATGAATCTCTACAATCTCAGCTCAATAACATACAGCAGCACTTGAGTAGCTATTTACTACAGGAGGAATCTGCTATGGAAGAAAGGATCCGGTAAGTGTAACTAGTCTGTCAGGATTAGCCAGAGTCGGAACCAGTTAGAGCCATGATTGGTCAGACACCTGCCATAATTAGTCAGAAATCAGCCAGGATTAGTGAGAAATTGGTCAAAATCAGTCGGATATCAATCAGAATTAGAATATAATTTTATTTTTTTACAAATTTAAAATGAAATCAATATTTTTTTTCTACTATATGTACAAAATAGTCCTATACAATTATACCTATGAGTATTTAGTTTTTTTTCAGATTTTTTTCAGACCACTATTTACCTACATCTCTGTGATTCAGTGTACTTAGTTTTGGAACCATGTAACAGTAAATGAAATGCATGGATTGGTAACACATTGTTTCTTGATTTTTGGCTGTAGAACATATGAGGAAGAAGAACGTGAGCGTTTTCAACAACTGCAGAATAAAGTTAGAAATGATAAGAAGAAAATGGTCAGGTATGTAAATTTTATTTTATAAAACAGGTGCCCTGTTCATTACTTCTAGAGGAACTGAGCATATAGCAACATTCCAAATTACTTACACATGTACTAATGCGTATCAGGAACTCTTCTCACAAAATATATTCTTGATTGTATATACTAGTCTGATGAAAGTAAGCTTCCCTGCAAAGTAACCCCCTTAGTATATATGAAGGTAGGCAGAGAAGGAAAGGAAGCTTCTAATTGCTTAAAAAAGTGAGTCATTCAAGGTATACTGAGCAGAAGACTTACTACTTGTCCTGAGGGAATTCATATAGAAATCTTTAACACTTTAACACCACCCTTAGAGATCTTAAGCAATTCAGTACGGGCAAATCTTTAACACTTTAACACCACCCTTAGAGATCTTAAGCAATTTAGTACAGGCAAATCTTTAACACTTTAACACCACCCTTAGAGATCTTAAGCAATTTAGTACAGGCAAATCTTTAATGTTAAGTGATTTAAGAGCTGCTAGACAAAACTCTTGATCGATTCAAATGAGGCCAAGTAAGAGAAAAAACTACTTATGAAAAAAATTAGGTGAATATAAGACTAGCATGTTCTACTTTAACTAAAATGAAATGTTAACAAAAGCATTGAAGTCAAATTCGTGAAGAATTGAAAGCCTGTTAGAATGATAAGCAATACTATCATGACTATTGCACTGTACACGTAGCTAAAAAATATTCACTTTTTACATGCATTCTCTTTGTTGTTGAAGGATTCATAATTGACAGGAAGAAAATATATAGCTTGAGGATTAGAGAATCAATTATCATTTTACTTCAAAATATTTCTATTGTACCAAACTACTTGGCTTATAATTGGAGAATTTGTTGGTTTTTCAGTTTACTTCTGACAGCTGCTAAGAGTCAGTCAGAGGATGCAAATGTTGGAGGGAAAAGGAATCAAGGTACGTAAAGTGAAAGCATCAAAATCCTGATGTAAAGTCAGATAAGTCTGTTTGTGATGTTAAGTCAGATCAGTCTGTTTGTGATGTAAGGTCAGATCTGTCTGTTTGTGATGTTAAGTCAGATCAGTCTGTTTGTGATATAAGGTCAGATCAGTCTGTTTGAGATGATAAGTCAGATCAGTCTGTTTGTGATGTAATGTCAGATCTGTCTGTTTGTGATGTTAAGTCAGATCAGTCTGTTTGTGATGTAAGGTCAGATCAGTCTGTTTGTGATGTTAAGTCAGATCAGTCTGTTTGTGATGTAAGGTCAGATCTGTCTGTTTGTGATGTTAAGTCAGATAAGTCTGTTTGTGATACAAGGTCAGATCAGTCTGTTTGAGATGATAAGTCAGATCAGTCTGTTTGTGATGTAATGTCAGATCTGTCTGTTTGTGATGTTAAGTCAGATCAGTCTGTTTGTGATGTAAGGTCAGATCAGTCTGTTTGTGATGTTAAGTCAGATCTGTCTGTTTGTGATGTTAAGTCAGATCAGTCTGTTTGAGATGTTAAGTCAGATCAGTCTGTTTGTGATGTAAAATCGGATCAGTCAGTTTATGATGTAAGGTCAGATCAGTCTGTTTGTGATGTAAAGTCAGATCAGTCTGTTTGTGATGTAAGGTCAGATCAGTCAGTTTATGATGTAAGGTCAGATCAGTCTGTTTGTGATGTAAAATCGGATCAGTCAGTTTATGATGTAAGGTCAGATCAGTCTGTTTGTGATGATAAGTCAGATCAGTCTGTTTGTGATGTAATGTCAGATCAGTCTGTTTGTGATGTAAAGTCAGATCAGTCAGTTTATGATGTAAGGTCAGATCAGTCTGTTTGTGATGTAAGGTCAGATCAGTCTGTTTGTGATGTTAAGTCAGATAAGTCTGTTTGTGATGTAAGGTCAGATCAGTCTGTTTGTGATGTAAGGTCAGATCAGTCTGTTTGTGATGTAAGGTCAGATCAGTCTGTTTGTGATGTTAAGTCAGATCAGTCTGTTTGTGATGTAAGGTCAGATCAGTCTGTTTGAGATGTTAAGTCAGATAAGTCTGTTTGTGATGTTAAGTCAGATAAGTCTGTTTGTGATGTAAGGTCAGATCAGTCTGTTTGTGATGTTAAGTCAGATAAGTCTGTTTGTGATGTAAAGTCAGATCGGTGTCAAATCAGATATGTCTGTCTGATGTAAGGTCAGATCAGTCTGTTTGTGATGTAAAATCCGATCAGTCAGTTTATGATGTAAGGTCAGATCAGTCTGTTTGTGATGTAAGGTCAGATCAGTCAGTTTATGATGTAAAGTCAGATCAGTCTGTTTGTGATGTAAGGTCAGATCAGTCAGTTTATGATGTATAGTCAGATCTGTCTGTTTGTGATGTAAGGTCAGATCAGTCTGTTTGAGATGTAAAGTCAGATCAGTCTGTTTGTGATGTAAGGTCAGATCAGTCTGTGATGTATGATGTAAGTCAGATCAGTCTGTTTGTGATGTAAGGTCAGATCAGTCTGTTTGTGATGATATGTCAGATCAGTCTGTTTGTGATGTTATTATGTGATGTAAGGTCAGATCAGTCTGTTTGTGATGTAGGGTCGGATCTTTCTGTTTGTGATGTAAAATCATATCGGTGTCAAATCAGATATGTCTGTCTGATGTAAGGTCAGATCAGTTTGTTTGTGATATAAGGTCAAATCAGTCTGTTTGTGATGTAAAGTCAGATCAGTCTGTTTGTGATGTAAGGTCAGATCAGTCTGTTTGTGATGTTAAGTCAGATCAGTCTGTTTGTGATGTAAGGTCAGATCAGTCTGTTTGTGATGTAAGGTCAGATCAGTCTGTTTGTGATGTAAAGTCAGATCAGTCTGTTTGTGATGTAAGGTCAGATCAGTCTGTTTGTGATGTAAGGTCAGATCAGTCTGTTTGTGATGTAAAATCGGATCAGTCAGTCTGTTTGTGATGTAAGTCAGATCAGGTCAGATGTTTGTGATGTAAGGTCAGATCTGTTTGTGATGTAAGGTCAGTCAGATCAGTCTGTTTGTGATGTAAGTCAGATCAGTCAGTTTATGATCAGATATCAGTCTGTTTGTGATGTAAAGTCAGATGTTTGTGATGTAAGGTCAGATCAGTCTGTTTGTGATGTTAAGTCAGAACAGTCTGTTTGTGATGTAAGGTCAGATCAGTCTGTTTGTGATGTAAAGTCAGATCAGTCTGTTTGTGATGTAAGGTCAGATCAGTCTGTTTGTGATGTAAAGTCAGATCAGTCTGTTTGTGATGTAAGGTCAGATCAGTCTGTTTGAGATGTTAAGTCAGATCAGTCTGTTTGTGATGTTAAGTCAGATAAGTCTGTTTGTGATGTTAAGTCAGATAAGTCTGTTTGTGATGTAAGGTCAGATCAGTCTGTTTGTGATGTTAAGTCAGATCAGTCTGTTTGTGATGTTAAGTCAGATCAGTCTGTTTGTGATGTAAGGTCAGATCAGTCTGTTTGTGATGTAAGGTCAGATCAGTCTGTTTGTGATGTTAAGTCAGATCAGTCTGTTTGTGATGTAAGGTCAGATCAGTCTGTTTGAGATGTTAAGTCAGATAAGTCTGTTTGTGATGTAGGGTCGGATATGTCTGTTTGTGATGTAAAATCATATCGGTGTCAAATCAGATATGTCTGTCTGATGTAAGGTCAGATCAGTCTGTTTGTGATGTAAAATCCGATCAGTCAGATGATGTAAGGTCAGATCAGTCTGTTTGTGATGTAAGGTCAGATCAGTCAGTTTATGATGTAACGTCAGATCAGTCTGTTTGTGATGTAAGGTCAGATCAGTCAGTTTTTGATGTATAGTCAGATCTGTCTGTTTGTGATGTAAGGTCAGATCAGTCTGTTTGAGATGTAAAGTCAGATCAGTCTGTTTGTGATGTAAGGTCAGATCAGTCTGTGATGCAAAATCTGATCAGTCAGTTTATGATGTAAGGTCAGATCAGTCTGTTTGTGATGTAGGGTCGGATCTTTCTGTTTGTGATGTAAAATCATATCGGTGTCAAATCAGATATGTCTGTCTGATGTAAGGTCAGATCAGTTTGTTTGTGATATAAGGTCAGATAAGTCTGTTTGTGATGTTAAGTCAGATCAGTCTGTTTGTGATGTAAGGTCAGATCTGTCTGTTTGTGATGTAAGGTCAGATCAGTCTGTTTGTGATGTAAGGTCAGATCTGTTTGTGATGTAAGGTCAGATCAGTTTGTGATGTAAGGTCAGATCTGTCTGTTTGTGATGTTAAGTCAGATCAGTCTGTTTGTGATGTTAAGTCAGATCAGTCTGTTTGTGATGTAAGGTCAGATCAGTCTGTTTGTGATGTAAGGTCAGATCTGTCTGTTTGTGATGTAAGGTCAGATCAGTTTGTGATGTTAAGTCAGATCAGTTTGTCTGGTTTAAAGTCAGATCAGTTTGTGATGTAAAGTCAGATCATTCTGTCTGTATTATAGTCAGATCAGTTGGAATTTTGTCTAAACATGTTCATATAGGATCTGGAGATGGGAGGAAGTTGGACAGGAAATCAGTTGGCATTTCTTCCTCTGCTGTGGCTGTCCCTGGTTCTAAGCATCTAAACATCAGCAGGACAAAGTCATCTCCTGTGCCAAAAATCCATTCCATTAGCGAGTACCAGGAAAATCCAGACTCGGAAGGTATGTTACGTCTGGATGTCTGTCAGTGCCTATAAGATCCTAGCATCCAGGTAGTTAAAGTTCTAGGTTGCTTGTTCAAAATATTGAATGGGAAGAACTAAAATATTATCTCCCCTTAGTTTAAACAACCTTTTTTTGTATTCAAAAACACATATTTAACAAATGGGATGGAAAAACAAGCATAGAACTTGTGTTAATTTCTTTCCCAAAGTTATTTTGTCTGCTGGATTTTCATGTAGTACCACGTTTCAGTTCCATTGAATAAATACAATTATTCATTGTGAAAAAAAAGGTTTTAAACCTAAAGAAGCTATTTTGTAGGCAGTTTTTAAAACTTTATTGAACATAATTTACATAAATTTCATATACAGACTGCACATTGAAACTTTAATATATACTTAAGATTAAATCCTAACTTTCCAGGATATAGTGTAGTACTGTATACAGAGACTCATCAGATAAAGAGTTCAGTTGTACTAGAATATGTTGTTTTAGGTATGTTTATGTTGGATGATGATGGGGGGGATGGACAAGAACCTTTCTACTCCTCGGAAGATGAGGATGAAGATGAAGATGACGAGGAAGAGGAAAGTAAGTCATTTTCACTTTTGAGAAAGTCATAGTAAGATAGGAAGTACCTTTAAAATTATAAATCGTTTAATTCCATGGTAATGAGTTGGCTGATGGTTTGTCAGAAATATGGAGAGTAAATATACATATCTATATTATATATTATGGTTTGTATACCATGTTCTTCTCCGTGATACTGACTGATTAGGTCACTACGACCTTTTAGTTCTAGTTGTTGAAGTTGTTAAGACATGTATTGTACTGGGTGGGATATACATAGTTGTTGAAGTTGTTTGACATGTATTGTACTGGGTAGGATATACATAGTGAATTATCTCCCTTGAAAGGATCAACTAAGACCAGGACAGTGGCACCGGTTAAATCTTCCATCTACTCCTCTTCTATGCCTATTTCTGTGCCGATCTGGAACAGGACTGGACTGGATGATGGCGCCACAGATAGTGACAAGGTAGGTAGTATAATTGTAGTTACATAGGAATAGTTTTAATCTGGAATAGAACCTGACTGGATGATGGCGCCACAGATAGTGACAAGGTAGGTAGTATAATTGTAGTTACATAGGAATAGTTTTAATCTGGAATAGAACCTGACTGGATGATGGCGCCACAGATAGTGACAAGGTAGGTAGTATAATTGTAGTTACATAGGAATAGTTTTAATCTGGAATAGAACCTGACTGGATGGTGGTGGTGCCACAGATAGTGACAAGGTAGGTAGTATAATTGTAGTTACATAGGAATAGTTTCAGTCTGGAATAGAACCTGACTGGATGGTGGTGCCACAGATAGTGACAAGGTAGGTAGTATAATTGTAGTTACATAGGAATAGTTTCAATCTGGAATAGAACCTGATTGGATGGTGGTGCCACAGATAGTGACAAGGTAGGTACTGTTATTGGAGTTACCAACAAATAATTTCAAGCTGGATTAGGACCAAACTGGATGATGGCACTCCAAGATAGTGACAAGGCTGTAAGTTCAATTACCATTGTTACCTATCAATTGTTAAGTCTGATAAAAAAACACATACTCAACAGGTATGACAATAGATATACTAAACAGTAAAAATCATAAGAGATCTATAGTTAATACTGTATTTTGTAATTCCAAAGTTTCAAATTTTTTCTTCCTATCTCTTTCATATCTGACAATTGTACATTTATGATATTATTGGACATTCAGCTAAAGACAGCTGACCAGAATGCTTGGATATTTTTACTGTGATGATGTAGTGTCATTCCAATTGTTTTGTTATATGGTTATATATATTTATTTGTAACATGGAACTTGTGTAATACAAGTATGCAAGAAAACCATACATGTGTATCTAAAATCATTTGTCCTTGCAGTTGACCCCAAGCGACCCTGACCAGATAGCAGCCTCCATGCAGGCGCTTGCCCAGAGTATTACAAATGATGAACGCTACATCTTTGGGGACCGACCACGCCCAAGGCTCAATACCGGTGACTTTCAACGTCCAACCCTCAATAAAGATAGTTACAACAAGTGAACATACATCATTGTTTGAGGAGAAGTTTATCGTACCTTTCTACTTTTAGTCATTGATTTTACCTTAAAAATTACTTGGCTGAAAAACAGGCTGTAAAGAGACGGTCCTCTTCATGATTTGTTAAAGACAACATAAGTTAGAGGACCAGTGTAGGTTTTATTGTTAGTTCATACATATGGAGAGATCTTCTTTACAGAGAAGTAATGAAAGATGTATAAGTATACAGAACTAATGAAAGATCTTGTTAGCTAACACCAGTTATAGGACCAGTGTAGGGTTTACGTACAGAGATCTCGGTCACAGAGAAGTAATAAAAGTTGTGTACATATACCCAACTATAGAGAGATCTTAAGACGACACCAGTTATAGGACCAGTGTAGGGTTTACATACAGAGATCTCCTTTACAGAGAAGTAATAAAAGTTGTGTACATATACCCAACTATAGAGAGATCTTAAGACGACACCAGTTATAGGACCAGTGTAGGGTTTACATACAGAGATCTCGGTCACAGAGAAGTAATAAAAGTTGTGTACATATACCCAACTATAGAGAGATCTTAAGACGACACCAGTTATAGGACCAGTGTAGGGTTTACATACAGAGATCTCCTTAACAGAGAAGTAATAAAAGTTGTGTACATATACCCAACTATAGAGAGATCTTTTTAAGACTGATCACATGTGTATGGTGGTCTTTACAATGTGTAGAAATTTAAGTATACTTTGATCTCTTATCCTACAGTCAGATCTTGTTAGCCCACCACTGGTATTTTTCTCATCCATTCCACGTGTCTCCTGGTCAGGGACATAAATACTGTATAATTTTTACCTACTGTTGCCAAATTATGTTTAAACGAACCTCTTTACAGGGTAGAGTGGCACATACAAGTGTCATAAACCTTTGTCATATGCCTAAATTACTCCGATTTACGGCTGTTTTCTTGTGTTTTATACCCAGACCATCGTTGTGGAACTACGGATTACACTTGGTTGTTGAGAGTGCTAATGTTCATTGAGATTAGGTATACAGTGAATTTGTGAAAAATCATCTTAAATTGCAAACCGTGATTACTATGATACTGTGTTGTTAATGAACAGTTGTGAAAGATTGACGATTACAAGTCAATTTCTTGCACTTCTTTTGTGTAACAAAATATAGAATCAAATTATGTGTGTAGATAAAGCTTGAAAGAGTTAGCATGCTGTGTACGATTGATAGAGAATATATACAATGTCATAGAGAACTTGACATTTTAGAAACTAGATTAGATTTCTTATAAAATTAACCAATGATTAGACTGAAATGTCATTTTTGTCCAAACAGATTGTGCTGAGGGCCATTCCAGTAAAACATCTGCTTGACCGAGGACTCCAAAATAAGTCACTTCTAACCATGGTTAGGTTTCCTTCCTATTTCCTCTAGGCAAATTATTAGTAAAATTCCATAGGCGGTACACCTAAAAAAAACCTGGAGTCCAGGTATGGGAAAGATGTTTACTGGGCGGTACACCTAAACAAAACCAGGAATCCAGGTATGGGAAAGATGTTTACTGGGCGATACACCTAAACAAAACCAGGAGTCCAGTTATGGGAAAGATGTTTACTGGGCGATACACCTAAACAAAACCAGGAGTCCAGTTATGGGAAAGATGTTTACTGGGCGATACACCTAAACAAAACCAGGAGTCCAGGTATGGGAAAGATGTTTACTGGGCGATACACCTAAACAAAACCAGGAGTCCAGGTATGGGAAAGATGTTAACTGGGCGGTACACCTAAACAAAACCAGGAGTCCAGGTATGGGAAAGATGTTTACTGGGCGATACACCTAAACAAAACCAGGAGTCCAGTTATGGGAAAGATGTTTACTGGGCGATACACCTAAACAAAACCAGGAGTCCAGTTATGGGAAAGATGTTTACTGGGTGATACACCTAAACAAAACCAGGAATCCAGTTATGGGAAAGATGTTTACTGGGCGATACACCTAAAAAAAACCTGGAGTCCAGGTATGGGAAAGATGTTTACTGGGCGATACACCTAAACAAAACCAGGAGTCCAGGTATGGGAAAGATGTTTACTGGGCGATACACCTAAACAAAACCAGGAGTCCAGGTATGGGAAAGATGTTTACTGGGCGATACACCTAAACAAAACCAGGACTCCAGGTATGGGAAAGATGTTTACTGGGCGATACACCTAAACAAAACCAGGAGTCCAGGTATGGGAAAGATGTTTACTGGGCGATACACCTAAACAAAACCAGGAGTCCAGGTATGGGAAAGATGTTTACTGGGCGATACACCTAAACAAAACCTGAAGTCCAGGTATGGGAAAGATGTTTACTGGGCGATACACCTAAACAAAACCAGGAGTCCAGGTATGGGAAAGATGTTTACTGGGCGATACACCTAAACAAAACCAGGAGTCCAGGTATGGGAAAGATGTTAACTGGAATAGCCCTAAGTAAAAACAAGGTTTTTTGTTTTAATGTATGTTTTAGTTGTCTTCTATCACAAATAAACATTTGATAGGCTAATAATCTAAGACAATTGAAATAGAAATCAGTTTAGAGTTAAATTTTAGTTGAAACAACATTGTTTGACAGTTACAGGAAAGTGGGAGGTCCATTGAACAAAGAAATTTTTTACTGAAAAGGATATATTTGTAGTGAATTCGTATCTGTTCACTTTTTTGTGGTTTTTTTTTTTTTATTATTATTAATTATTATTTTAGATATTGGAGTCAGGTTTTTGGACAGTACACAATGTCTGAAGAGTTCTGGTAAATGAGATTGTAACTGTTACATGGTATAAAAGCTATGTTTTATGTATGTGCTGAATTTGGTGTGTGTTATAGAATTTGAGAATTAATTATATCATGATAATCTTTAATTAATATCTTTTTTATTAAAAATTGTTTACTATTTAATCTATTACACATATTAGAAAGAGTTGTGTTAAAATAGATATATCTCCATACTGTTTGTGAAATAGCAACTTCGGGCATTAATTATTTTTGTCACAATTTGTTTACACTAAAATAGATTGCTCAACAGGGAAGTATAATGACTCTGTAATTGATATATTTAGGAGACATATAATGACTGACTGATATATTTAGGAGACATATAATGACTATAATGACTGTGACTGACATATAATGACTGACTGATATATTTAGGAGACATATAATGACTCTGTAACTGATATATTTAGGAGACATATAATGACTCTGTGACTGATATATTTAGGAGACATATAATGACTCTAACTGATATATTTAGGAGACATATAATGACTCTGTGACTGACATATTTAGGAGACATATAATGACTGACTGATATATTTAGGAGACATAAAATGACTGACTGATATATTTAGGAGACATATAATGACTCTGTGACTGACATATTTAGGAGACATATAATGACTGACTGATATATTTAGGAGACATAAAATGACTGACTGATAATTTAGGAGACATATAATGACTGTGACTGACATATTTAGGAGACATATAATGACTTTGTGACTGACATATTTAGGAGACATAAAATGACTGACTGATAATTTAGGAGACATATAATGACTCTGTGACTGACATATTTAGGAGACATATAATGACTTTGTGATTGATATATTTAGGAGACATATAATGACTGTGACTGATATATATATATATATATATATATATATATATATATATATATAGAGAACATCCATGAAGACCTTTTTCAACATAGTCACCATTTTGGACTGGTCAATTCAGAGAATGTGGTGGACGTTGTCATCCTGTGTTCAAAGGAAATAAAGATGTTTTTTAATGGGTGTAGAGAAGGATATGTGATGGCTCTTTTGACACAGTCATGGATTGTATTAATCCTTTTTGGCTGGTATATCTAGGGTATGTTGGTTGAATTTTTCCACCTGTATTCAGTTTATATCGGTATTTAATGATGTCTAGAATGATTTTCAATTCTCCCAAAACTAATATCAAAGGAATGTAAGAGTTACATACAAAACATACTCTCACTTGCAGTCTGCTGCCTACAGTTAGTTTACAAGAGCTGTGTACATACTACCTCAGTTTATAAAGTGTATACTGTTTTAGGAAAACTTGGCTTAAGTGAATCTAACTATGTAAAACTATAATGTTGGTAGATAAGGATGGTAATGTGTTCACTTCTAGGGTCAGTGTTGAATCCCATTTGCACGAACGACCTCAAGATCCTTATAGCATTAAGTACCACTAAGGGCATCACTTTTTTTAACTGCTGACACAGCAAAAGGGATTTCAGATCCTCAGTATTATTAATGATAGCCTGGACTGTCAGAAACTTAAAAGTCATTGAGGAAACATTCGAACAGGTACTGTGTGTCTTTGGTCACATCTTATTTAGTAATTTGGTCATTTATAAATAATTATCTGAATTGTTTTGTCATGTTTTTAACACTTAAAGTAACAGTCTGTCAGATTATGAAATGATAGAACAGAATACACCCATCATGTGCAAAGCAAATCCAAGCCAAATGCTTGTCAGATCATAGAATGTGACTCATATTGACCCTATGAATACCGTTAAGATCATTAATTTTCATAGAGGGATTTATTTAATTTTTTTTGTTCTCTTTACACACAAATCCACTTGTCCGTGAATTATTAAAATTAGTATATATTGATTTATTCATATTTATGCTTGAAACCAAGTGTCCATGATATAGTTATTTTTTAGGAAAAAAAAATATGAAAATTGAGTTCTACAAAAACATTTATCCCAGTATTATTGTTAGATGGATATGAAATTTCTTCATCAAAATATCAGGTAATCATAAACTTATTGTTAAACTTGCAGCTACTAAACTATTGAGGTCAACTGTGATACATGTACTAGGTTCCTACCATAGACTTATTACTGAGGAAGGTAGCTGTGTGAGGCTATAAAGGGTAGTTGTGTTATATTGCATAGGGTAGCTGTGTTAAGCTGTAGAGGGTAGCTGTGTTAAGCTGTGGAAAGTAGCTGTGTTATGATTTAGTTGTCAAGACATATCTAAAATTAAACCACAAAGACCAACATTTGAGGATGTTTTATGAATAGTGGTCAGGAAATCTGTCAACTATGAAAGATAAAATTTATTTGTTTGCATTTAAGCAAAAGTATTAATATTTTCAAAAGTAAAAACTATGTACCAGTATTGGTAAAAATTTCTTTTGAGATTTTGATAAATGATTTTAAGATATAAAATTTTTATATCCACTTTCCTGTCTACTTAACAGTGATGAGGGTGAGATAGAGACTTTGAGCAACATTGGCTAGTGATCTTTCTGAAAGTTAGTCTGAAATATGTGCAGTAAAATTGTTCTCACCATTAATGTTTGAAGGATATGACAATTTTGTAACTGTTAAAAAGGTATATATATATTTTTTTTTTTTCATATTTTTATCATTTTATGAAGAAGCACAGGTTTTTAATTGATTTTAAAGTATTTTTTTTCTTCCTCTATTTTCTTCAAGATTTTTATTATTAAAAGATTATAATACACAGGTACATTACAATAAAGAAGTGTCTGAGTGATTCTGATGTACCAGTGTTGGCAAAAATTATTTTCCACACTAAATGTTGCATTCTGATTGGTTGGAGACTAGAGCATGTTCTACTTACTAATACTCAAAAATAACTATTTGTTGAAAATATTATCCTGTGGTCGAGGAGTGATTTACAGCACGGATGCTATTCTAGTTAATGTTTGAAGGCAAGGTAGAGTATTTCTGCGTGATGTGAACTCTCAGCTGAAGGCAAGGTAGAATGTTTCTGTGAGATGTGAACTCACAGCTGAAGGCATAGTAGAATATTTCTGTTGAGATTTAAACTCACAGCTTGTAATATATGCACTCTGTCTGTTGTTCAGGGTGATTTTCACACAAAAATGGTTCCCACTGTAGATGTAGATATTTTTAACTTGTAAGTGGGCTATCACTATTATATATGTAAGGGAGACTGTTGTGTACGAGAGAGATAGATTGTATCGATCATTCACATATAATGTCATTTTTACTGTGATTCTTACCATGCATCTCATAATGATAACCTGGCTTAGTGGTGCTGTATAGAAATATTGCTGAGGTGTTTTGCTGTTGTTGCCATTTAAAGATTTTGTTGAATAAATATGAAACCATGTTGTCTTCTTCCAACTTCTAGAACCTGTGATAGATAGGGCTAAGATGCATGTAGAATTATTTGACATGGCTGGAAATGGTTCTCTGTAATATATTAAAACAAAGAATTAAGTTAAAAATATATTGAAAAGAAAAGAGGATAAAAATGAAAACTTGAAAATCTCTTTTCTTTACTTCTGTTTTAATAGAAAATTCATCTTGCAATCAAAATGTTTTACATCAATATTAAATTTTAAACTGTTTCTACAAGACCTTAAAATACTACTGAAGTAATTTGTCAAGAATTTTGTCCTAATTTTGAGCTTTGGTGATGGGATTTTCTCATTATCTTACAACATGGTTAGTATTATTTCATGTCACTTTCAAAGTTATATCTGTTATGCATTAATTCTTTTGGTCTTACTTGGGACCTGGGTATTTTTTTTTCATATATATTTTATAAATCTGAAATGTCAATACCACACAATAATTTGTAAAATCTTTGTTAACAGAGCAATTCTAAAATGTCTCCTGGCTTTATCTGCTTAACTTAGATAAATATGTACTTTAAAATATCTGGGCAAATTGCCGAACCTCATGATTTAATATGGTGTAGGACTACAGTGCTGACTGAACTGTATATATTATGATCTGTGAAATTCAAATTATTTTTCGTCATCAAATGATAAAACATTTTACTGGCAAACATTGTAGCTGTTAATTTAATAACAAAACAATTATTATTTCACAGATGAAAATATGATGATAAATGTGAGGATATGACCACGTTATAAAGCCAATCTCTACCCAGATCTCATTAATATTTTACAATGTTCAGTAACCTAGTCGTTTTTGTGAGGTAAATAAATGTATCCGGGTATCATGTGCTTACTTTAAGTTGCCAAATGACAAAATCATTACTAGCATTGAACAGTGACTTCCCTTGGATGTCACTGTGACCATTACAGCTTCTCTACAAATAAAATGAGGTTCTGTAATTTTGTTGTTTGTCATTTATTTACATAGATAAATACCAGAAAGTACTGAAATCCTTTTAAAATCCTTGTCAGCTCCATTGGCAATAACCTTATATAATCTGTGTTGTATTGAATGGAAATTTAGTAGTCTATAATATTCATGACAAATATTAAATCATTTCAATCTTTGTTCCCTTGTGATTTTGACCAAATACTATGATCCTACATCTTCCGACGCCAAGTGTCTTTGGTGTGGATATCATTATAGAAGAAATTAAAATTCATTGACATGATGCACCAAAGTTTCCATACTGAAATGTCTAGACGTATGATAATGTGACGGCTTACTTGGCAAACAAAGAACAAAAACAGGCTAGCTAAAGAAATTACCTCTAATGCATTTAATGTCGCTGGTTAAAACAGTTTTATCTCCATCATTACCAGAAAGGCTGTCAAAATCTTTTTTCCCACAGTGTTTGTCCACCCACCGACCCAACTTTTGTCTTTAAAACAGTTCTTGTTATAACCAATGAAATATTGAATCTGATTTGTTAACTCCCCTAGGCCTTTCTTTTGGGGACTGGTCAGGAATAAACAAAATGACAGATAAGCGGCCATTTTTGATAGTTTTGTTGAATTTTTTCACATAGTATTTGATTATTCCCTTTAGTACTTTCAAAGAAATTTTGCAGAAACCTTCCCTGGCCTAAGATGAACCAAAATTGTAAATTATACAGCCTCACCCTCCAGGGGCCTGAGGGTGAGGCCAAAAGGGGTCAAATTGACTCAGATTTCAAAAATCTTCTTCTCAAAACCCAGATAGGGTAGATTCAAATACTCTTCGTAAAAGGAAGCATATTAAGGTGCTTTACCAAATTGTGAATTTCATGGCCCCAGGGTCTAGATTTTTGAGCATAATTTGTTTGATTTCCATTTTTCAGACTTGGTTAGAAGTATGAATGAAGGGTGACTGCTTGATGGTATGTCCATGTTGATCCT